CCTCTTCAAAACAGTGGCTTTTCAAATCATACACTTGGTTTTGGTTAAAATTAGAAAGCATTCCAATTTTGATGATTCGCTTCTCAACTACATGAGCATCTAGTGCAGGTCTCTTGTTCCTGGCAATGCTAATGTAGCAAGTGTCTAGCTGAAGTCATTCTCTTTTGCCCTCTCTTAAATAGAATAGCTGGACAAAAACAAAACTTCAACGATTTGTTGCTTCGACTTTATGAAATCATAAAATTCTTTTACATATTATGTGCCGTTTTACAGCAGCCAACATCTTGTTTGGCCTTTTAGAACAACATCACAATTACATGGTATTTATAGGTGCATGTGCTGTGAGGTATTAATGAAATACACTTAACAAAAATGAGAATAAGAACAAAAATGAGATAAGACACACTTTACATCAATATATGCTTCTTTATGAAAAGCCTCTTTTAAGGCCATAAGTATATATTGCATCTGCACTCTTCGTTACTCTGTCAGAGTTTGTATTATGACTGAATCCTTCATACTTGGGGGCTTGTAACTAACATCATCTTGACAGTAAAATTTTTTTAACCAAATTAAACAGCTCATCAACATTACTTTTCTCACTTAGTTTCTTTTGAGTTCGATGTTAAATACTTCTCACATAAAGACTGAATTAATTTTTTTACCTCTATTGGTGATTTTGGAAGTGAGTGTACAATTTTTTTTATGGTGAGTGTAAAATTTTTTTTATGGCTTTACCAAGACTCTGCAGGAATTTGTATAGGGAATTTAAATTATTTGTATGTGAAGAGATTGGTAGAATTTGATTTTTTCTTTGTTTACACAATCTCTGCACAACAGCGTTTGCACTTCTGAGTTTTTTAAGTCCAACTTTTGTCGCGGAAGCTTTCTTCTCTGCCTTTCTTTCTCTGTTTTTTTTCTTCATCATATCATGGGGATCTTGGTCTTTTTCAACATTTTATCTGTCTTTCAACAGCTGTTTTAGCCATTAGGTTAATTGAAAAAAAAATAATTCCCTAGTTTTTGACTAAGCTTCTCAAGGACTCGTTTTGTCATTCCATCGCCGAAGATGTGTCATTCCGTCACGCTAATTATTGGAAGTTAATAATCAAATGCATAGAATTTTACAATTTCTCATTGATTCTTATGCCACATCTGCTTTATATTCCAAAATATACACATTTTCATTCAAAAACGCAGTTGCTATTTAAAAAAATATACTAAAACATGTGACGGAATGACACAAAAAAAAGTTACTTTTATTTAATATATTAAACTTAAAATGACTTAAAGGCTATGTTTTAAATGTTTAAATTTTGTACTATATGCATATTTTTATCAAAATATTGCAAAAGAAAGATACATTTCTTTTATTTTATAAGTATTTTTCAAGAAAACAATTTGAGCACAAATGTGAAGAATTCACTTGTCAGCCATGTGATTACTTTAGAATGCTGCCAGATTCAAAAAACTTAAAATTATCAAAAATTAAACAGTAATATGTAGACTTTGGCTATTTTTGAACATATTTTTAAAATTAAAATATGCAATTCATAAAAAAAAAATTTCACTTAAAAGTTGACACTTTCGTGGAATTGCCCAATAGCGTAAATAAGAATCGCAATGCGAAACTTTTAAATCAGGCAAAGATGAAAATCAATTATTGATATTAAAATGGCGTGAATAAGAATCGAGATATTTGCAGAGTCTGGACTTGGGACTTCTAAAAGGCTAGTTTGTATTGTTTTTGTTTAGACATAATAAATAAAAATTTACAAGATTAATTGAATGAGCAAATAAATATTTTCACCCCAAATCCATCTCCGTTTTTTTCCCCCTTTGCTTTCATGCCAGAAAACAGGAAGCAGCCACGTCTGAATTACGAAAATACGAGCTATCTGGCTGACGGAGAGAAATACGGAAAATCCTATTTTCTGTGCATAAAATTGGAGAAAATAGCTAAAATAAGTAAAAATGCGGTAGGGTTAGCAGCTAGGACGTTGAATTTTCTGTTCATCTTTGAAAATCGCAAATAAATATAATTATTTTATTTTAACGACTGAATTTAAAAAAATTTTTTTAAAAAAAACGGGATGTTTATTAAAAAAAAAAAAAAAAAAACGAAACTTCTAGAGAATCGGAGTTTTTGATAAAAAGGCGAAAATTTCAGAGACAAAAGCAAAAAAAGCGGAAATTCGCTAAAAAGTCTCATACCTGTTTAAAGATCAACCAGTTTTATACCAAGCAAATGATTTTTAGAGAAACTTCAGAGGGAGGAATGAGAACTTCAATACTTTTGCTCCGCAGAAAATTAAATTCCTCATAAAATATTTAATTTAGACTTGTTCAAAAAAATTTTTTTTGTGGAAATTAGGGGGGGGAATGGAAAAATCTGGAAAAAAAGCAGAAATCTGCAAAAGAATCACATCCCTGAATTGATGAAGATTGTGGAAAAAGGATTTAGATGAAGTAACATGTGCACGCACGTAGAAGAGTGGAGCTAATTTAAAACAGTGTGAAACATTCAATATTTTAAGAAAGAAAAAAATCATGTTAAACAAAGGGAAATTATTCTTTTATTTTTTCCAGCAATGGAGAGGACTTAGATCTGGGGATTGATAAAATAATGGTCAGACTATACAATTCTATTTCGGCACAAACAAATAACAGAAGTCTAAAAACCAAAGAACTACCGTAATTTATGGAAGAAACGCCGCACCTATCGTAAACGCCGCACTTGTGATAATGAGACTTAAAAAAAAAAATCATGGTAAACGCCGCACCCATAATAACGATTTAGCGGCAAAAGTGAATATATAACATTAATTCCTTATAAATGCTACTAATGTTTTAAATTAAAATATAAATTAAAATTTATAAATTTATAATTATAATAAAATCAATAATGAAATCTGCTATTGTATATTTTGGACAAACTGCTCAGAACAACATGTTACAATCGGCTGTTGGTGCCATCGTTAGGTAAAAAATTTAAATAACTATATTTATATTACTTTAATATAAATGATTTTTTTTTACATCACAGTATAGGACCCAAAATTCGACACTCACGGGACCGACGAAATTTCGGAATTTGCAGAATTTTGGATCTCTTCTGGAAATTCCAATATGGCGCCCGTATATTACGATAATTCAATTACGCTGTTAATTTCAGAAGAACCAATAAATTTAGCTAAGCTTCAATTGTATATTTTGATGGGGTGAATTTAAAACTGTCCCATCTTTAGAAATTTCATTGATTAAAATAATAATCTATAAGATATAATCAAGAAGAAATAATCCGAAGGATAAATAATTCAAGATGAAATAATCCGAAAAAGAAATAATCGTTTCTTCTTCAGAGCGAGATCATTGTTCTCGTTTTTTCTTTTACATAACATTTTATTTTAACAAAAGATGCTCACCTCGGAAGAAAAAAAAAAGCTAACAAGGAACTACAAAAAAAGTAACAATTAATGGCAAGAACCTAACAATGAATAACTACAAAAAAGAAGCAAACAACTAATAACGATAAAAAAAAACCAAGTTAACAAGTGTAGCAAAAAAAATTAACAGTTAATAAGCAATAAAAGGATAAATAAATCGAATTTTTTTTAAAAAAAAAAAGCAGCAAAAGGGATAGAATTCATTTTGTACACCAAGTGAGAAAGAAGTTTCAATGTCAAAAGGGTGTGGCTAATTTATGGTCAAACAGAAGAGGGAAATGGGGGAGGGGGACAAAACCAGTAAAGCACTTGTCAAGATTGATTCATCAGTTTCTCCCAACTAGCATTTCTTTATTTTGTTCATTGGAAATGCAGATGTTTTTACTTTTCAATTATGTTTTGTTTGATACAGATTTATTATTTTTTCTCTTCATGTTTTTATTTTTAAAAGATAAAATATAGTTACTTCCTTCAAGAGAAAAAAATTCCAAATAAAACGAAATATTACTTTTTTTTTTTTCTTCCTCTTATCATTAAAATTTCTTTAAAAGAAAAAAGAAAGAAAAAATTTTGGTCGGATTAAGTGCCGAATTTCGGGTTCCATACTGTACTACATATTTATATTTTATAAATATTTTTTTTAATTTAATTTATTTATTTTTTGGAAATATACCTCTTTTTATTTAAATAAGAAGATATCAGTTTATAAGTCGCGTCCATAACAACGATGTATAAATATTAGCAAATACTAAAAAGAAAACTTTCCGCAATTTAATTTCTCCACAAAGCACGTTGTAACAAAGTGAGAAAAAATGTGAAAGAGCTATCAACCACGCGGTTTGGTGGGAACTAGATCGAGATCAACCCACTTTCTTTAAGGGGTGGTTAGTTATCAATAGTGGCGCCATCTTTTGCCATAATTCGCAACTATTTTGATTAAAAAAAATTGTTTTTCTTTTAAAAAATGAAAAATTTATTTTTAAAATATCGTAAACGCCGCAATTAAAATTTTAAAACTTTTAAACACGTAATCGCCGCGGCCTTTCTTCCATAAATTACGGTACATTCAGTTCAATCAGGAAAAAAACACTAATTTTAGCAGAGATTCACCCTACATTAGCAGATAAAACTCCTTAAGAATGTTTAAAAATATAAATTCACTCGGATGTTTCCTTAAGTTTATATAGAAAACTATAAATATTTTAGAAGTTTTTAATTTGATTTACTCAGATATTATTGGTGGTAAACAATCATATTACAACAATATGTAAAAGGTAGCATTGTTAACTTCATTAGTTGTCAAGACTCCCATTTTGAAACTTAACATAGCTTTAGAAACAAAATAGATAATTTAAAAAATTAATCTACAGATGAATAGCTATATATTAAACCTTAAAACGAAAAACACTTAATTTATTTTAAGCAGTTTACATAGCGTTCTTTAACAGGTTACTCAATTTTCTCAAATGGATTTGCACCTGTAAAAAATTAAATTCTGGCACAACTTTTTTGACAAAAGTTAACTCTTGATAGTAATATATTCATATTGCTTACCAATATTTTCCACTGTCATACTATCTTGAGTGATTACGCAGAGAGGACCCTCATTCCTCCTAAAAAAATAAAAATTATGATTAAAGTTGAGTAAATGTATCAAAAACATATTTTTTTAAAAATTGATACTAGTGGAACATCAAATTATATAAATAAATCAAATATGAATCTTTTTAGGGATGATTTTGACTATCAGAAAGAATTACCAAAATTTATGAAGCCAGAACTGAAATCCCAGAAAAGTAAAATAGTTTATTTGGATTTTGTGACACATAATTTAAAAATATGTGCATGAAAACTTCACTCAGCAGTGATGAGAATTAGCTTCAAACAAGGTAATACTATACCCAAATATAAATAAATTATAAAAGCAAAACCAACCTTTCTAAAATTTTATTTTTGGAAATAGAGGCCAAAGTGTAAACATGAAAATATTATAAAAATTCAATGAACTTTTTTATTAAGAAGATTAATTGAATATCAAAAAAAGAAATTTAAACAAAATTTATTATGTATAAAAAACAAAATCTCTTTTAACACATACATCTAAAATAAAAACAATTCCAACGCTGTTTATGAAAGATACAAAAAATAATAATAATAATATAAAATTAGAAACGAGGTAAGTCATCTAAATAAATTAAACCAAAGAAAATGAAAATGTGCTATAACTAAAACTGCTTAATAATAAACAATAGATTAAATTTATTTCAAAACTGAACTATTAAATGTGTCTAAAATATCACAATATTTTACTATACATCATTATATTGCAGGTAGGAGCTAAATTTTATAATAAAATCAGTATGAGATGTGATAAAATAATTCACATGTTTAGGGAGCTGAAACTTAAGAAATAGGCATCTTATCAAATAAACAAAAGAGTAGTCAGGCTAATCAGTAAAAATAAATTTAAAAAAGCAGGTTTTACTTTTTTTTTTTGACAACCTAAGTATTCTCTGTTCAACATATTCAGAATGGATATTTGAACAAAATGGTTAAAAGTTTCTAAAATAAATATTTCAAAAAATAATAAATCAATAATTTGAATTAATTTTCATCAACTTTTAATAACAAAGCACATTCGTAGCTTCAACTCAATGAAGATCCATAATTAATTAGAGGTCTGTTAAAAAAAGTCTTACTTAGGTCTCATCACATCAGCTGCTAAAGTTGTGTGGGTGAATTCCTCTTTACTATCCAAGAAAGGATAACCATTTAAATGAATATGCGCATCATAACTAATTTTAGAGTTAAAGATAAAAATAATAGCAATTCAATGTCTTATACCTTTCAAGAAAACACATCAGAATTTTTAAATTCTCTTTAAATTTTCATAGCCACCAATAAAGAAAATATATTTAGTAAAAATAAAACTTTATGCAAAGTATTGGGCAATACATGGATTATTCCTCATATAGGGCATCTTAGAGATTTTAATTGTAAATAAAGGAAAAAACAAAAAAAACTATATGATGCTAATAACTACAAATTTAGATTGACTGCTATCTATTTACTATCTGTGACTGACTTCTTTTTTTAAATATAATGTCAGAAAACTCCAAGGCTTTGTTGATTGCAGGTTAAAATAAAAATTTAAAGAAGCAAGTAATGACGAAACAGACTGTGTATTAAGGAAAAATAATCTTGAGAAGATCAGGTGTGAAGAAAATTAGACTGTTTTTGCTTGGAGGTATTGAGGGATGGTTACTCTGCAATCTCAAACTTTGACTTATAAATCATTTATTATATAGAGGTAAATAAATATATTTTTATGAAAATCATTTTCATCTACCAACCTTTATGAATGAGTTTATGTTTTTAATTTTCTCAAAATTTAATATAGCATAAATAACTAAAATCCTTTTGGATAATTAAAAAATTAATGAAAAATATACTGGTAAAGAAATTTTTAACTAATTAAAAAATAAAAAGATCTCCATAAAAATTAAGGAATTTGAAAAAATATCTGATTAATGTTAATGTAAAAAAACTCACTTCATTCCTTAGAAATGCATAATACTAATTTAAAATCTCAAGTAAAATTGGAAAACTTCTAAAAAATTTTTGCAATCAAAAAAGTTTCCAGTCAATGCAAACATGGCAACTAATCCTTTCCCGTTTTTTTACATTTAACATGAAAACATCTATGAAATAAGATTTTCAACCTATCTTTTAAAGAAGTCATCTGCAATTTAGATTTCTTCAGTGATCAAGTTCAGCTTTACTAATAAATAAAAAATTAGTCAAGAGATGACACAAATGTGAAGGATAATCTATTGTACCTATTCTATAATTATTTTAACCTTGGAATATTGTTTATGCATAAGTTATTAACAAAAACATTCCAGAAAATGGTATCTTCTTAGATTTTCTGAGCAACTAAGTACGGCTTAGCAATTAAACAAGAGTTAAAAATTAAACTATTTGATGTGTTTTACATTTTAAAATAACAATTTTTCAGGTGATATATAACAAAAAACAGTAGTAAAAACTAATACGCTAATTTTTAGAAACATAAAGGATACATCCCTTCTTTTCCTAGAGCATCTCCAACCCATTTACTTGCCATAACAGCTGCCATTAATGGCACAATGTAATTAACAGATCCTGTTAGCTCAAACATAATGACAACAAGGGAAACTATATAGGTGTAAAAAAGTTCAAAATATTTAGCATCTCTAAGTAACTTTATAACATAGAAATTCAGGTCAAAATATTTAATTAATGAATTAACTTTAATACTGAAAGCATTCTTTCAAATTTTTAAGAAGTTCATTCTTTGTCAGAAAAATACAGTAAAATAGTAACAATTTACAATATACTAAATAAACCATGTTGGACAAAGCCTAAAAACTAAAATTTCTATACAAATATGATTGTTATCTCTATCGTTAAAAACATATTCATTTTATCATCAGAATCAATTATAAAATAAATATATATTTATTAATATTTAAGATAAAATTGTTAGGAAACAGCAAAAACTCTTAATTTAGAAAGAATCCAAGCTTTTTCCTTTAGAAAACTTGACTACCCAGAAGTTAGCAATACTAACTGAAATTTTTGGTTTTTGCACAAATATTGTAATTCTGAAATGATAACTTTTAAGGATAAGCCAAGCTGTAAAATTTGTTTTTTCTTGTTAAAATTTTTGCGTTTTAAGCTTTCGTAATTTGTTTTTTACGGCTTTTGGCCAATGAAGGTGGGAGAAGATATCACTCATATCTCATCACTCCAGCTTCGAGCACATTGTTTTCAATAATTTCATTATTAGAAGATATCAATTAAAAGCTTTAAGATTTTGTATGCTTCTTAATGATGGTAGTTGACAACATTTTGGCACAACTAATGGAAGATTTAAGATACTTGGAATTTCTTGCTCCACCTTAGTATACAGTATGAAAAATGAAAACCAAACAACTCAATAACCTTTGATCTGATGATTAGATTCTTGTGTACCAACATGTAATCGTACTGGTTCTATGAATTAAGATGAAATATATTAATTCGTACAGACAATATTTTAAGTTACAAATTAAGATATGAAAATGTACTTCCTTTGAATAAATATAGTTTTTTTGAAAGATTCAAATTTCGGACCCTCAAAATACGAGATTTATTAGGAGAATGGTCAAAAGTGCAAAGCTCTTCACTTTTGGCATATTTTCCTATTAACTTGGGATTCAAAAAATTTTGGGAAACAATTATAAAACTACTTTATTCAAAAATGATGCCATGAAAAAAAGGAATTTTTATTAGCTATAATTATTTAATTTAATATTAGACAAGACAATTGTTAAGTATGCAAAGTTTTACATAATTTGAAACTATGTAATTTCAAAAGACTAAGTTTAAAAAGAATCGGTTGAAAAGTTCCTGAGAAATAAAAACTTAAAATTAATTTTTAAAAACAATTCTATTACTCAGATACTGTTCAGTCAATCTTTGCATTTAATCATTTAAAATTACATGGTTTAAAATCCAGTAAAAACTTTACAACTTAACAAAATTTTCAATCATTCTTAAATAAACAAATAACAAAAATATTATTTCGAATGAAATTATCTTAGTAGAAACTAGTTTTTAAATGGTTTGAAAAATGTTTAGATTTTCTTAATTAGTTTCAATGATATGGTGAAATTTGCAAAAAAGGAAATTAACATTAAGGGGCTCAAATCTTTGACAGCTTTCTCAAATTAACTAATATGACCATTTTTTGCTGTCTAGGGCTAGCCCCTATATTTACTCAGGTCAATAAAATGTATATTTATTCAGAGAAAGAATATTTTAATGGATTATTTCATAATTTAAAATGTCCTCTGCACAAATCATTTAGCATATTTTTAGATCTATGAGTCATTAAGATGGTATTTAAATCCAACTATAACAAGAAAAGTTATTCAGACTTTTCAATTTGCGTACTGTGCATGTCGTTTTTTTTTATTTAAGCATTCACTGTTTAAGTTTTATGTTACTTGTTCACCAGGAAGTGATTGATGATTAGTCAACCGTTTTTATGTTCCAAAATAAAATCAACTTGACATTAGTTGAGTGTATTTATTTATTCCGGACTTCAAACGATTTAAAAAAAGAAAATCTTAATTCATTAAAATATTAAGAAGTTGAAATTTTTTTAAAAATAAAATTAAGAAGGTTTGTTTTAGAATCAATCAAAATGCAATACAGGAAAAGAAAGATAGTTTCAATGTAGATGAAAAGTAACAAGAAATGTTTCTCATTTTTTTTTAAAATTTCAACTGTTTAGTAGCTGAATTTGTAATAAGTTTGACACATAAAAAATTATTCAAATTCAGCCATGCTAAAAGGCGCAGTCCTTTTGCATGCTTGTATTTAACTCACTTCCTCTGTTGAACGAGAAATCTGCTCAAACAGTTGCTAATTGTTACAATGTTTAAAAATATGGTTATTTCTGTGTGTGAACCTAAGCATTTTTTTTGTTCCATTTTATTTTTAAAAAAATTTCAACTTTTAGCGTGCATGATGTTTTATTACCAAACAACAACTACGAATGCAATAGTTTTCAATCAAATGTGTTATAAACATTTATTTCATGTTTCACCAGTTTTCATTCAAAACAAAAATTTCAAAAACATTTTGTTATGTTGAAATGAGTTTTATGTCTTCACATTAAATGCTTTGAATAATAAAATACACATTGAAAATAACATTAAATGCTTTGGTAATAAAACATAGCGTGTGCATGATGTTTTATTACCAAACAACAACTACAAACGCAATAGTTTTCAATCAAATGCGTCATAAACACTTACTTCATGTTTCACCAGTTTTCATGCAAAACAAAATTTTCAAAAACATTTTATGTTGAAATGAGTTTCATATCCTAACATTAAATGCTTTGAAATCAGTTACACAAACAAAACATATAATTTTTACATAAATTTAAACTAAGACATTATTTATTAATTATTTCAAAAAATACATATCGAAAATCATTTTTGTAAACATTAATTAATTAACACAGGATTTTCTTTATTAATTTATTATTTTTGAAAGGGTTCAAAAACTATTTTTAAAATTTTAACAACTATTTACTTCCTAAGCATAAAACTCCTCAATGTATTGCAAACTCTATGTTATGAAATCATGGTGAATTTTAATGAGTCTACTGTACAAGGGAGGAGCCTGAAATGTCACATATAGCAAAAAATCCTCAAGTTTTCGCAAAATGAGTAAGAAAAAATTACTTAGATGGATGACGTAAAAAAATTGATACTTTAAAAAAATAGAAATTTAGAATTATTTCACAGTGCCACAAAAAATCAATAATGCCTAATTTTTGACCCATCCTAAGCAGAAAAAAGGATTAATAATTTGAATCATTGATCACTCAATTACTTTATGTAGAAAAATGCAGTTCCGATGATAATCTGTAATTTTCTTTTCACTGTAGTAAAGTGATAATTTTGATAAGTAAGCAGATTTATGGGTAGTTAACTCTTAGAGGTTACTTTTCACAACCAACCTTAGGTAAAATATTTCTACACTAGATCCTAAAATTCTAACTTTGGAACAAGACTATGTTTAAAAGTTAATTTCACTCAAAAATAATTTTTTGCAACATTTAGCTTGTTCTTATAATGAAATAGAACATTATAGTCAAAACTTAATAGTAAAATCTATTTTTGATTTCTAAAAAACTTTGAATTACAGTTTCTCTGTAGTATGCTAATTGTCAAAGACAACTGTCATCCCTCAAAGATAAAACAGTTAAAGAATTATTAAATTTTAAAATTGCTTACAGAGACATAGTCAAACACTTTCTAGCCTACATGCTTATAGGTTGGACAATTCTAATTTAAAGATTTTATCATACCAGTCATGCGAGTCACTCCTGCTAAACATGCTGCAGCACCAACCATAGCATACAGTCCAGGTGTCATGCAACTTTGCCCCTCTGGACATGCTTTCTGAAATATCCTAAGGTGACTGTATGACCTATAATAAGTTAACTTTATATAAAATGATTGAATATATATTAAATGCAATCAGTAAATTCTTTAAAACATAACTGAAGACCAAATTGGCAAAGTTCTTATTGAAATCATAATTTATTATTAGAAAAGTGTTTTATATTATGTTTGTTTCTTGTTCATAGATTCAATTTTCAAATTTGTGCAAAGAGCATTTAAACTTTTATAGGGAAGAGATGAGTCTTAGTGGGAGGAATGCCTAGCATTTATTTGATTAACAACATAAAAAATACATCAATCCATGGCAATTTGTCAAATAACGACATGTATTTTAATTTTTGATTATCTTAGTATACTGTTCTCTATGATTCACAGTAGCTAAGTAGTTAAGGCACTGAGCTGTCAGGGTGTGAAACTGAGGTTCAGTGGCAGCTTGAAGCCTGGACTGGCTTTAAATCAATGGGTACCAGCTTGCCTGGAAAGTAAAAGCAGGTGGCACAATGTTAACTCCATTGCTACCATACCATTGGTCAATTAATCTCCACATCTCCTGGTCCAAGATGAGCTGTTACAGGAAGGCTTTTTTACTTTTTTAGGAAATTTTGTGCCATATCGCTAGATCACATAAACATCTGATACGTACAATATATATTAATTTGCATCTGTCAAAAATAATGTAAAGCATTAGCAGTTCACTTTTAGACAATTTTCGTGGCATCAGTACTAGATAAATCGTCTTTCAGTATAAATATTGCTGTCAATTGGACCAATTCTCATGCTTCTCTTGTACCATTGCCACTTGTACCACTTCTTCTTGTATAACAGCCAGTTCATGCATACAAGAAACTTCTGAACATTGTTCAGGAAATAATCTATAGACTGCTAACCAGGAAAAAATGTGCCTGATGCGGTTAAAATGTGATGCATTGAAAGGGTAATCAAATTCAATGCTGTGTGAGTAAGTAGCCAGAACAGAATTTTAATTTCTTCAGTTATGTCGTGCCACGAAGACCTTGAAACTCAGTTGTGAGCATTGCTTTCAATATTAGCTGTTGTTACAGTAAATATGTCTAGCTGTTATTAGGAAAATTTAATATTACTTGCTGTTCTGCTAAAATAAATGGTACTGATATTTTTTCCATCCAATTATCATTTATTTACGTATGTGATGTATCACAAACTACTAGGAAAATTGTTTTAAAAAATGCTTATTTTTAAAAATCTTTTACTTAATTTGATAGCAAGCAAATTGTTAAACATTATTCTAGAACACTAAGTAACATTTCACACTTTAATGGTAGCTAATTTTCAATTATTCCATGTTAATGCAATTTTAATCATAATTTTAATGATTAAACACATAAGAACTTCTAAGATTTCTAAAGTCATTAAATCTTGGGCATCTTCACAAGACCAACACTGAATCATTTTAAACTTTATTATTACCTTAGAATAAATTTTATCAACCACAAACCTCAGAATCAATTTTATCAACGACAAACCTCAAAATAAACTTATCGACCACAAACCTCAGAATCAATTTTATCAACGACAAACCTCAAAATAAATTTATCAATCACAAACCTCAGAATCAATTTTATCAACCATTAACCTCAGAATCAATATTATCAACTATAAAAACACAAGTTAAATATAAGTACTTATCATAGCATACAAATATTTACTTAATGTAGTTTAATTTTTTGGAATGCATAAACTTTAAATTTACAAGTTTAAATTTATTGTTATTCAAATTAAAAATTTTGCAATTTTAGCTTCCATCATTTATACAACATTAAAATAACCAGTTAATCTCTGGTAATAATTTCAAAGTTTTAAAAAGTTTATTAAATTTAAGTAAGTTTCACTACACTATAAGAAATTATCTTTACTTAAAACACAGCTTAACACCAATAATAGCCAATTTTAATATGTTTTAAATATTTTTTAGGCTTTCATTCATGTCCACAACTCATCCAGGAACAGGTACCCCAACTCAGCAAAGAAATTGATATGTTTAACAACACTACTGCTCATTTTGATGCCCAAAACAAAAAATAGCCATTCTGAAAGCCAGAAACAAAGTTCATAATAAAGAAAAAATTTTAACTTCAGTTTATTTCATTTAGACTGCCGAGGAACAGAATCTTAAACATAAACATTTTTTACATTGATATTTTTTATGTAACAAGTGTATAGTAGACCATGTTAAGATGTGATGACATCATGAATAAACAAATCACAACAATGTCAATCTACTCTTAATTTTAATTGTCAATGTCAATTTCCACTTATTTAAACTAAATTAAATTTACTCAGCAAATTCTTACTGGAAAATAAAATATAAATCATTCAATCTATTCTTTAGTTTTATTTACATCTGTATTCTTTTCAACCCTACTACGATTGCTTTATTCTTTATTAACTGTGTTTGTTAACTAGTAAGTGAAGATAACTGATATTGAATGATGATGGGTATTCAATAAATTCTTTCAGTTCAATAGCAGTTTTTAGTTGCATGCCTTTAGGCTTTTTCCTGTTTCATTCTTTTTTAGCTTTAACTCTTTAATTTCACCAAGAAGTGTAATCCACACCTTTAACCTTGTGCCACTTCTTTATGGGTTGCAAACTAAAAATAGTTATGTACATGCTACATATTATCTAAAAGGGGAAATAAAGTAAATTCTAAATATTGCAAGAAAAAGCATGACTTCATTCTATTTTTTAAAACATATTCTCTCCAAAAGCTAGATTTCATAAAACAGCAAAAGAGATTTTATTAATGTATGATTTAAACATATTTTGAGATAGCAACGCAGATTTAAAAAGCGGCTGATTTTATAAACCAATGATTTTATTAGTAGAGAACACTGTATTAAGATACTAAGAAAACTTTTCATCTACCAACCTTTATGAATGAGTTTATGTTTTTAATTTTCTCAAAATTTAAATTTAATATAGCATAAATAACTAAAATCCTTTTGGATAATTAAAAAAATTAATGAAAGAAATACTGGTAAAGAAATTTTTAACTAATTAAAAAATAAAAAGATCTCCATAAAAATTAAGGAATTTGAAAAAATATCTGATTAATGTTAATGTAAAAAAACTCACTTCATTCTTTAGAAATGCATAATACTAATTTAAAATCTCAAGTAAAATTGGAAAACTTCTAAAAAATTTAAATTAAACAAAACTTTTTTGATATATTGTTAAACCATATAATTGACATAAAAATTAACTTTTTGAGGAACATAATTTCTGAAATATAGTTTATTTTTGTTAAAGGAAACATTTAATACAAACACTTACATTGCGATTTCTTCCATTCCAATCCCAACCATTCTTCCCATTATGGCCCCCATTGCCATGCTTGGAATAAACAAACCAGCAGGAACCTATGAAAATATTATGCATTCAGATAGGAAGAAAACGTTTTATCTTAACCTTTCCAACCTACAATATTTATTAAAATCTATGACCTAGTAATCTTCTACATCAGTGTTCCCCAACCCCCGGTCCATGGTACAAATGGTACCGGGCCGCCCATTTCATTGAAACTGAATTTAAATTCCTAGGTTTATAAACCAAATTATTTGTGTTCCATTAAAATTTCATTTATTTAAAAGAAGGGGCCCCCGAAGGTAGTGATGTAAATTTTTTAATATTTTAAAAAGTAAAAAGAAAACCACCATAGCTATTTTCTCTTTCAATTAGTTTCGAAAAAAAAATCAATCATCATAACTGTAAATATCATAAATACATAGAACATAGATACATAGAAAATTACATAGGAACTAATGAAGAACTTTGTCTTCTCTCTCGATTGATTTAACAATCAAGTAAGTTAAAATGTTAATTCACTTTATATTTATTTTTTGGTGTAACTGTATTTTATTTTGAAGGCATGTTTAAATACAATTAAATTAAAATTAATGAATCAAAATAATCTAAAATACAAACAATCAACGCCTCCCCCAAGCGGGCCGGGGTGAAATTATCAAACGTTGACAGGTCCGCGGTGATAAAAAGGTTGAGGAACACTGTTCTATACTATGACAATCAGACATTTTTAATCGATAAACAAACACAGTAAGACAAAATTTTCTTATTATTTGCAATTATATCATATTTTAGGTAATTACTATTGTTTTGAACAAAGAAAGCCAAAATTAATGAAAAAAAAATTTTTTTTCTTATGGATATGTCAAGAGAAGTCACAGCACAAGATAAGCATTTTATTAGTTAAATATGATACCAATTGTCATTAATTTTTGTTGAATGTATTTATAACGATTAAAAGAATTTAAATTATCTGTTATCCAAACTATCAGAAAATACCTTCGTAAACTTATGCAACACAGATGTGATGCCCTGTGGCAGAATCGCAGTGACACGGCGATATTGTCGCAGAATGTTACAGAGTTATTGCAGAAAGAATTTTCCTTTAGAAAGAAAAAATTTTGGCTTTCTTTTCTGCAAAAATTTTCATATTTTTTTTCTCTAGAATTATATTTAAAAGATGCCTTTTTTCTGCATCGGATTGGAAATAAATGTGCACAATTTTTCGATTCTTATTTGAGAAGAATGAGAAAAAAAAGAATATTGAAGCAAAAAAAAATTTTTTTTGCAGAAATGCTTGAAATATTTTTTTTCCTCCACAATTATATTCAATAGATGTCGTTTTCATGCATCAGAAGGAAAGAAATGCTCGTGATGTTTCTTAATTCTTATTTGGGAAAAATAAAAAAAATTTGCTTTTCTTTTCTTTCACGGATTTTATGATTTTTTATTTTTCTCTATGTGATGATCACTTACGAAATATGAAAAAAGAAATAATTAGTGCGGTTTCCTCTTACAAAATAGGAGAATATTGCCTATGATATTAGAATAAAAAAATATTACATAATCATTTAAAAAAATACATACAATTTTATTATATCCAAATAGGCTTTTTCTGTAAATATAACGTTTCTAATTTAAAAATTTTATTAATAACATGTATACTAATAGTATCTTGAAGATTTTACGAGGTTCAAATCCTTACATAAATTTATAGTATTTAAGAATTAAAATATTAAATTATAAAAATTTTTTTAAAAGAATACCATTTTAAGAACAAGAAACAAAATTTTATTTCATGAATTTCAAACTATTTTTTTAGAATGAAATATAACTGGTAGCTCCTGGAAAGAATGCCTTTAGCTTTATTAATCTTAGAATTCTTTCATTTTCAATTTCTTTCTCTGATTCTGTTGCATTTGATTCTACATTTTTTAAAATTGTTATTAAGCCATGTGATTTAAGAACTAATTTGCCTTTTTTTAAATCATTTTTCCTCACATCCAAAAAGAAAAAAAAAAGGGAGAATGTATGTACCCAAAGATGAAAATGGTTTTTACACATATATAAGGGAAAAAAAACATGTTTTTTTTATAATTAATTCAACTGTATGATCAGATTACAAAAAGTTTTAAAAAGACAGTTGAAAAGTTTATGAGCATTGAGTGTAATAAAAAGACTGACTTGCACATGATGATGGAAAAATAAAATAATTATATTCCATGAATAAGAATATTGCTATAAGAATAATAAGAATATTGCTTCTTATTAATGATGTTTTTAGTTAAAAGGCATTATATTCCATGTTTCTAATTCTTCTTGCAATGGCTTTTTAATAATGGGAAATATTTTTCTCCCAGTAATTGTAGTAACATAGAAAACAGAATTTTGAGATCTAATAATAAAAACTGGTAATTAATTACGAGTTGAAAATTAAAATGATTTTTCTATTCCTTTCTTTTTGCTTTGCCCCACTTTCCAGTTTCAGCCTTTTATCGTTATTATTTTTTAAGAGTCAATGCTGAGAAACTTTTTTTATTATTAAAATGATGTTTTGGCATTCAACTATCAGGAATTTTCCAATTCTCACAAATTCCAGAGAGTTGAACTTTTACAATGTTTTCTTTTGTTAAAAATCAATTTTCTCTATTATGTTCTCAAGCCTTTGAATATAAGTGGTTAATATAGCAACTATCTGCGATTAATTGGTCAATTAGTAGGTTTGTTTAATTACTCATAAGCTGTGACATCATCCCATTCCAGCTGTTTATATAGACCGGCGTGATTTAATCAAAATGAAAAAACCTAAAACAGAAGTTTTCAATTCTGTAAAAGATGTTTTATTGAAAACAAAATCTTTTCTTCTATAAAATTTCTGAATTCTGAAAAATACAAAAAAATCCCAAGTCTGAATATAAATGTATTATGTTAGCTACTAGCGTCTTCTTCTTTCTTACCTGTTTGTCACTGCTCTCAGTAACATTGTTTTAACCTAATGACTTGTTGTTTTCTGTTCAAGTTTGTTGCTTTTAAATATTATTTTGACGTATATGTTATTTTCCATGAATACTTGCCTTTTTTTCTTGAAGACCACTTCATGATTCAGACTGCCTGCCAGAAATTAAATACATCATATATCGCATTGTAATATATTGCACTATGATATAACACATCTTTGAAACTCATAATGACTACTGTGTTGCCTGGCTCAGGGAAAAAAATGGAGTTGTCACAAATATGTAACCCTAGTAGCGAAAGGGTTAGAAAAAATTTAATATATAAAAAAATTAAATACATAAAATAAATCATTTATATGCTTAAAAAATAAAAAAACAAAATATCATGTATTCTAAGAGATAAAAAAGTTGATAAAAATTTTATAAAAAATATATTCAAAAATACCTTGATTCCAAACGTGAAGATTGTAATGATAAGTTTGGAGATAAGAGCCAATGATAATTTGGTTAAACTTTCATACACCCCACTGTTTGCTTCAGCCATTTCAACAGGACTGTTGACTTTTGTGAAATTCCGATTATAATCACTATAAAAAAATTCAAAACTAGCAAAAACATTTCCATACGAAGCTAAGCTATAGAAAAAATATACAATACCACTTTCGAAAATGCTTGTATGAACCTTGATTTCTCTAGTAATATTTTTTAGAACTAACAAAATTTGCTGCTGATTTTGAAAAAGGAAATGATGCCCTGGTGATTATTTACTATGATACATAGGATGAATAGAATCATAAGGATATTTTTTATATATATAGCAATTACAATATAACCTCTAAGCATTCTGAATATCTGTAGAGTTAATAAATAAAAAATAAATAATAGAGTTCATAAATAATGTAAAATAGAGTTTTTGTACAATTAAAATTAAGACTATAAAAGAAAACAATGCATTTCAAACTACTTTTCTCAATCAAAAATGTTGCTGATGAACAAAAACCCACATAAATTTTGAGTAACTAACACAATCTCATAATATTCTTCAGGAAATGAAATCTGTTAAAATCTGAATGTATTGATATTTTACTTGTTGGATCTACGCAAGTCTTACTAACATGACAATGGTATAATGTGAAATTTACCCAACAAAGGAAACTCAATTGTATGACCATTATAGTTGCTAGGCAGAAGCAGGTAGGACAACTTTAAATGTATAGAGAGATAAGGATTCAAATCTGTTCTAATACAAGGGTACTTTCAAGACTACATATTTTACAACAGACAGTTATTTATCATGATTTAAATTAACGCAAATAATTTGTTCTTCAGACAGCTAAAGTACGAAATAGATAAGTCAATACACTTAAAAAACATTTAAAACTATTCTATAAGTATAAAGAAACCTTTATTTTGCTACAGTGAAAGCAGACTTTTTAAAATCTGAAAACAAATATTGCATTATATTTAAATACTGTGGCCACACTTTTAATGCTACACGTGATAGATAAATTATTAACATGAGTGTTATCTAAATTATTTTTCACTACAATAAAGCATTTATGAAAAAGCAGTATGTTTTTCTTACCAAAGAGGAGAAACATTAGCTACACCACATTGACTAAATAACAGCCTTATAAGGTCGCTTGAATTCATTCTTGTATAAATGTTTGGGAAATTTATCACAGAACTAATCAGTGTTATGACTAAGACCTGAAATTATTCACACAAAAAATATTAAAAAAACATTTTTCTTTAATAATGAAATTACTAAGTTGAACATTATGCAAACAAAAAAGATAAGGAAATTAAAATATTATAGAGTAATAAAGGATAGGAATGCTCAAAGAAAAGAATTATAAGATTACATTATTAAGTTTGACACAAAACATCTGCTTCAAATCTGTATGAACATTTGATGAAGTTATTAAACTAACATTTGTATTAATTAGCATTGTTTTATGGTAAATATTCTTTATTTCAAAGAAACAGTTTTAGTGTCTAGTCTTATAGGAATGTGCATGGAATTTTTTTTGATTCTGTGGAAGTTTTTAATAAGTTGTATTCCACTCTTAAAAATTTTTGTAAAAATCGTGCTGTAGCACAAAAACAAAAACTTCTGTGAGGTGAGAAAACAGAAAAAATATAAGAGCTCAGACAAAATGATTGAAATTTTGCCTTTCTGCAAAATTTGGTAAAATTCCTAGGAAAAGCAAAATGAACCAAATATATATATGTAACTTCTGCTACAAATGGTTTCATTCTTTAGGGCTGCCAACTACTATGCTTTTTGCAAAATATTTTATAGAGTGGTAGACTATTAGACCTAAAGCTTTCAGAATAGAGGTTAATTTTGCTAATATTTTAAAAGGCTCATCACAAGAGAACAAGAGCAAAGTGGCTTTTGATATGAACTTTTCATTATAACATAAACTTTGCTACCACTAGAAGAAACTTTCCCACAAATCATAGAAAATTGACAGCCCTGATTCTTACATACAGTAACAATGCTGTGCACTGCTTTTTTTGTGATTTACCACAATTGGCAGTATTAACTTCAGCGTAAATCTAAGTTAATCTTATTTCTGAAATCCGATATAGAGTCAATTAGCAATTGATACTATTAATGTGACCTTTGTTTATTTAACCCATGCAATTTTGAGTGGAGATCTTTGACCCATCCTCGGAGAGGCCTATAACCTCATTTTCACAGAATTATCATCCTGAGCGACAATTTCAGATACCAGAACAACACTACTTTTATTTCTTACTCACTATATCTCTAACTAATTAACATTTTTATGCAACCACAAAGATTTACCCAATCATTTCATGGTAGTGTTGTATGACTGTTCTGCTCGTTATTGTAAAGCATTGAATCCTCATCTAACGGGCAATCCATAAGATTAAACACTTCACATTATAGATAAAATCCGTCAGTGTTCAGTGAATATACCAGTATATACTCAAGTACACAATCTCTTAACAGAACATGGATAGTAAGCTGCATCTGAAACTAGCTCTTTTAAATCTTTTCAAGGTGGACAGCCCATATTTTTAAAAATAACATTTTGTTTGTCATTTTTTAACCACCAGTTATACATAAATGTGCTTTTGATAAACAAAATTATGGAATAAATATTACAAAATTTTTGCAAAATGTGGAAAGTGTAACACTAACATTTCTGAAGAGCTTTTGACTAATCTTTATTGCATTTTGTAAGTAACAACTATCCTTTTTCAAGAGCTTAATGGGGCCTTACAGGTAGTTATTGTCTCAATCTTTGTAACACACACAATTTATCGAGAATAGAATGTGAAACCATTCATCAATAAGTTATTCATAGAATTTCCAACATAATTCAAATATAATTGTTTTATTAAAATTTGAGATATCATGTTATTAATATTGAATTCTGATTCAAGGGAATGAAGATAATTGAAGAATGAAGATAATACAAATTTGAGGTTAATTCTCAAATTTGTAGTGAGAAACTTTTAGATCTCAAAAAAATGATGAAATTATAGTTTAAACGTTTTATAAATTAAAAATGCCTCTGGAAGATCTGATGAATATCTGAATTATATAATACACATTTTGTGTGGCTTTTTATATTTTAATCAATATGATTTCATTAAGTTTAAAAAAGGATTAAGATAAATTTGTATGTTTAATTATGTATTGTATAATCATTTTATTAATTTGCTATTAATAATTTAAAGGATAATATTTCCCAATTAACACATCCCTAGTACAACAATTTTTTCTGCTCCAAAGATGACCAATTTACTCAAGTTTCACTACAAATATAGGAGTTGTTATTAACAAACCACTATTTTTCCTGACCCCTTTTTGAATTGAAATCAGTTATAAGTAAACTTTAAATACTTAAGCAGAAAAAAATAAATTATTTTGAAATAGAAAATTACTTGATGATTTACATCAAGAAGGCATAAAGTTTCAAGCAAAACATAGCATTACAGTAAGTGGTAAATAAATTGTATAGTTTATAAAAGTAAATATGCAAGGAATACTTTATTTCAATTAAGTATACAGTTTATGAAAAAATAAGTGTTTAAATTAACAATATACTTCGGAAATAGGATATTGCCCAAGCTTGGATTCCTTACGATATTTGCACCACCTTATGTTGCCTTTAATAAAAATAGAGCCAACAATCCCCTAAAAAATATGAATCACATAAGAAAACAATTTACAATTTAATATACTCATAAATATCATTGAAAAACAAAAAGATAATTATTCAGCAATAATCTTTGGAATAATTTATAAAATTCTAATTCTAAGGTCGAATTTTCTAATAGAATTTCGAAATTCTAAATTTCTCATGCTAAATAACTGAAACAGATAAAAAATTAAGCTGTATTAGCCAATTAACAATTTTTACTGTTCCTTCTGCATATTTTATAGTTCCAATATCTAATAGCAAAGCATTTTTTTCCAAATTTCAACTTGAATTGAATTAATATATATATTTATTTCTTGCACTAGTTTTAATTATATTCTGTTCCTAACCCTTCCCCAAAAGAATCAAATTGAGATACATTCTGCTTAAGTTCGAAATAGATTCAATAGATATTTGTAACTTAAGCATATATCAATTTGGAATTTAATTTAACAGATAACACACTTGATGCTTTTAGATGGCAATTTTAATAAAGAAGGTTCATTTTTTTAATTTCAACATTTAAGTTTTGTTTTAAGTGTCAGTTTTTTTTAAAAAAAAAAATCAGACAAATAAGGCAAGTTTGGATACTTCATATTTTTGATTTTGTTGTAATTTTTAGCATATGATCTTTATGTAAAACTATTAAATGCGTTTTTCTTGTAAAAAAAAATTTAATTCTTGGCAAATCAAAACTAAAGATCATTTGGCACTTTGAAGAAAACACATCAATTTACATATGGCAATATTTTGAAAGCCCTGATTTTATTTTATGTTTTACTACAATATTAGATATTTACAATATTAGGACAATATTACTTAAAATATTAGAACATAAATACTTATGGTTAATTCTTTGGCACAACGGTCAAAAGTCATTGAATATTCTAAGTATAGCAAAAACCAAATTAATACACAGATCAATGTTAACTTATTGAACTTTTACATAAAGTGGCTCTAAACTTTGAGGCCTGTTCATAAGTAGTTCAGTATGGAAATAATTAGGGAAAAGCTGTAAATTGACTTAATGTTGTGGTTTAGGCCAAACTGGACATATGATGTTTGCCTCCAACTGAGGAGAGCTAAGTTGCCATCTTGTATTAACAGAGGGGGGGGGGAGAATTTAAAGACGTGAAACTTACACTTCAGTTATTAAACCCGAGATATTGTTTCCAATATATTTTTTAACACTGAATCAAATGAAATCCTACCCAAATCAATAGGACTATAAATTCAAAATTATAAAAGTGGTTATGCATAAAAAGTACGTTTATGTACTTACATCTATTTACAAGTCCGATATTGCGGTATAGACAAGAGAGACATTGTTTTTCATGTATTTTTCTTTCTTTTTTTTGTATTTTACTGCATTATTATTATTATCATCATTATAATTATTTAAATTTAACTTTCTGTTTAATTTACGTAGTCATTTAAAACATGTCCTTGCTCTAATCTTTAATTGTTTTCTCCAGTCCTCAGCATATATATCATCAATGATTTTAATCATTCATGTTTCCTATTATTTATATTTCTACAGGTTGAATTTAAAGATAATGTTTTTATGCATTTTTTGAAAAGCTACTACAGTACAGAACCCGTTATCCGGAAATCAGAAAACCGGAAAACCAAAAAACCGGTTTTCCCGCCATTTAAAAAAAAAAATTTTTTTCCCCATAAGATTTTAGGATTTTTCTTTCTTTTTTGAAAGATGTTTACCTTACCATCATTTTGAATACAGTAATCATTAGTGTATTACTTCATCGTTTTTTCTTCTTTTTAAGTTTATTTCCAAATATTTTTTTTAGTTGGGTTTAACAATAAAAAGAACGGCTTTTTGTAGCGATTCAGAAAACCGGAAAAATCAGTTATCCGGATTAGCGATGGTCCCGATCGTTCCGGATAATCGGTCCCCTACTGTATTTTGTTACAGATTTCAAACTTAAAAATACTACGTCATATAGAGTTTTAAACATGATATACCATGAGAATTCACTACATTTGCTTGACTAAATTAATATAGCAAGCAATTTTCCTTGTATTCTGTATTACAATTATTTGCATGGTCTACAAGCTTATTTACACAGAGCAGTTATGAAGCTTATTGCAACAAACATGATATAATAAAAATGCATTTTAAGAAAAACACCACAATGCTACAGAAGAAAATAAGTTTAATGTATATAGTTAAACGTCACAAGTTAACACATGTATTAAACTTATTTTGTTCTGTAACTATTTATAAAAGTTTAAAAGTTAAATAAATTACAAAAACTTCATAAATTAACACATAAAAGATAGAAATCAATAATTACTCCAAGAACACCCAATAGAACAAATGGCACAAGCTCAAAGAAAATCCAAGGTCTAGTTTTCTCCACATAGAACATAACCAAGTGATCATTTCCAAAAGGATTAATAGATCTTAATACAAAAGCTGCAACCAGAGCACAAAAGAAAGATCGCCATAGTGTTTTTAAAGGAAAGTAATAACTGACCTAAATAAGAAATAACACACAATTAAACACTTAATAAAAAAGATTTTAGTGAAAGAAGACTTTAAGTAGCATTTTTGAGGAAAACATATTTTTCTAATTGAAATATAAAGCATTAATTTATTTTGCCCAAGTCTCTAAACTACTCAGTTTTCAGAAGATATTGGTATGTAGTGACATTTTTATTGAGTTATTTTAGAATTGGTTCTAAAATATAATCAATGACAACTTAGTAATTTTTTCTTTAAGTAGCACATTAAAATACCAAGAGTGTGAATGCAAAGATGTTTACCGTTTAAAAGAATCCAAAGCAAGATAAGGTGAAATTTGTACTATATATGAATACAAAACTACATAAATCAACTCATTTTTATGCCTTCGTTTGTGCCTGATTCACATTGTTTCACTTAATTAAGTTTAACGAAGTGTTACTATGCGAGTGTGATATATATATATATTAGAAATTAGAAGCTAGCTGACAAAAAAATAAGACATGGCATAATTTCTATTTCCTCATACGTTCTGAAATTTATTTATTATTTTTATTTTTTTAAATTTCATTTTACGAATTTAAGTAATATTCCTAAAATGCCTTTTAAGCACACACGGTAACAAATTAGTATTGAATTTTGTACCAAAAGTTCATTTATTATTTTTTTTTTAAATTGTGCCGGCATTTATATAAGTAGACATTTAACATAAATTAAGTGGGTGCTTCAGCGTAAAAGACAAAATAGTACATGAAAATTGGATCATTATATTCAAAATAATTCAAGGTGTTCTTTTTCTTTTTGCTCAATGTATATTTTAAAATTCATATTTTTTCATTCAAAAGGAAAATAAACAAAGTTATATGTCTGGAACAATTACAAAAATCATTGAAATTTCTCCGTTGAAAACAATCTGGCTTAATTATAATAGCCTAAAATTGTGTATGTTATATCTTCACAAATACAAAAAACATGGAAATTTGAGGAAATAACAAAATAGTCACACAAAAATTTTACTGAAAATCATTCAAGAATAAATTACTTAACTCAAAATCGACTTAAAAAAACACAATATAATGTTTTTCTTCCAATTTGGTATGTACTTTAATAACATTTCAGAAATAGAAAATCCTAATGGGAAAGCATAATGCATATACTCAACTGTGTTCTAATTATACCGTACAGATATACCTACAGTTGGGTATATAAACTCAAAGTAAATTTTTTTGAAGAATGAGATTTGGGAGAATTTCGATTATGTCTAAAAAGCACTGTTTAACAAAAAAACTCATTTTGTTCAGGGAGTTCTGATTATTAAACAATCAGCTCACCAAGTAACTGCTGAGTAAGGAAAATGAATTGACAGTAGACTGTTAAATTAATATTTTGATCTTTTAGTAATCTATGAACAGCAATTGTAAAATTATTGGACAATGAATAGTTCAAGAGAGAATTCATACTAAATTTTTCTTTTTTTACAGTTCTGGCTTGTGTAACTTTTAATTTGTGAAAACTTCATGAACATTCTATGAAATCATGATCTGGGGTGGGGGGTACACATAGTTATCTTTAAACTTTTTATACCATAATTATAAAAATTAGTTTTACCAATACTTTTGCATTTTTAACTGAGCAACCTTAAGTTATTCTTCTGTTACAAAACATTTTTTTCATATTGTTTATTACATATGAAACTCTCTTTTGATTCAAAAGGTGTTTCCATGCAGATATGATGGATTAGAAACAAAATCAAGTGCAATAAACATGTGTAACAATTTTAAGCCTTACTTTTTATTGCAAGGAATCATTCATAAAAAAATTAAACAAAATTGAAAAATTTGCAGGAGAAGGGTAGCTCAATGAAGAAACTATTAGTAATCCTTTACAATTCCAACATTATTATTTAATTAGTTTTCTTCCTGAAAGTTTTATCTGGTACAGATTTAGAAACCATGCACTTGTGTAAAGATGTAATAAAAGCAGGATTGCTAAGGTTTTGGATGCATTTGGTTTTTAGTGTTCAGTCTAAAACTGTCTTTACAACTTTGCAAAACCATTCTGTCCATAGCAAGGTTATGTATAAGTTTCATTGTCGAATAAGTATTTCAAAATGTTGCAATAAATTGTAATAATTTATAATTAAATTATTTATTAAATGTCGATCTGTGTCCTTAAATTAAATAATAAAAACAATGGTAACAAAAGTAGTAGGCCTTAACCTTCCTTCAAAACTGGACATTGTAGTGAACTTTTTGTGAAAAATTTTAAGTGGTTAAGAAATTTATAAAAATTACAAAAGATTAAAAAAAATTTAAAATGCTACTAATTATCAAATGGGGATCTTGCCTATGAAATATATTCAAAAAAATAAGAGACAGTTTGCCTTTTTAATCTACAAAGATATTTTTGAGAACTTTGAATAGGAAGTTTTATAGATATCATTTAAGTTTAGACAATATATCAGTTTATATAATGATGCCATATTACAGGGATAGTTTCAGATACTTTTTGACGGTAAATTACACAGGTTTAGTTCAAAGCTTATTTAGGAAGTTTAAAACTGCAACCCTGCATAAAGCCATGAATGATAAAAAAAACCTACATACTTCTTCAAGACTAAATAGTACACCTCCAATAGGAGCCCCAAATGCTACAGAAACACCAGCAGCTGATGCAGCTGATAAAATCTATCAGAAAAAAAGGAAAGTATTTAGTTTAAAATTTGGTTTTCGTATGTTAAAGAAATCAAAACTATATCTGTGGCAAACCTAACTTCAAACCATTGTGTTTAGTATGCAATGGTTTAACACTGTAATATAGTTTGCAGTAATATTATTTATAATCTTATAAGAAGAGAAGTCATCAAACATAAATAGATTAAATTGGTAAGAAAAGTAGCAATCACGAAGAATTAAATCAGAAAACATGAAAATTCATTAAACTTATATTATTATTTTTTCTAAAATGGATGCTAGAAAAAAGAAAAAAAAAACCAGCTTAGCATACTTATAAGTATATATTACTTCTGGACACTTTTGATGTAAACTTTGGTCATCATTTCTACATTTTTCTTTTTAGATGAGTCCACATTTCTATCATTCCATTCATTAAAGGTACAGCATAGATATATATATACACAGTAGAGCGCTGATTATCCGAACTCTTATCATCGAACGTCCAATTACCCGAACCATGTCAGATTTTTTTTTTTAAAGTTTAGAATACTTTTTAACTTATCGAAAAATTTTCTAAATTTAGAAGAATTAATAATATCCACAACATCTGAATACCATGTTTAATTTACAACCATATTTAGCAGCTTTCCTATAGTAGCCATACAAACATATATTGTTATACAGTTAAACCTACATACCCTTTAGCCCTCTTCAACTGAAAATTATCTTCCAAAAATGCGAACTTTATTTTGACAGTCTACAATGTGTGGAATGCAGAGGAAAATAAAGAAAAATGTGCTAAAATCAGTAATTGACAAAAAATTATATAAAGCTGAAATATAATTTTAAAAAAATTCAAACTGAAAAAAAAAGTTTAAAAAAAATAAATAAAAAATATTTAAAAATTGAAAAAAAAAAATTTTTAAACATGCCAGAATAGTACAGTACCAGAATAGTACAGTTTTAGATAGTACAGTATGGGACCCCTAATTCGGCAGGATCCCAAATTCGGCACTTAATCCGACCTTTTTTTTTNTTTTATTTTATTTTTTTTTTTTTTTTTTTTTTTAAGAAATTTTTAATTTTTGGTGATAAGAGGAAAAAAATCAGACATATTCTCTTTTGATTTCGAATTTTACTCTCTTGAAGTAAGTAACCATATTTTATCTTTTAAAAATAAAAAAAAAGCATGAAAAAAAAATTGTCAAACAAAACATCTGTTCCTAATGCAGTTTAAAATGATGTGAAATTGACACTTAATCCGACCTTTTTTTTTCTTCTTTTTTTAAAGAAATTTTTAATTTTTAGTGATAAGAGAAAAAAAATCAGACATATTCTCTTTTGATTTCGAATTTTACTCTTTTGAAGTAAGTAACCATATTTTATCTTTTAAAAATAAAAAAAGCATGAAAAAAAAAATTTCCAACGAAACATCTGTTCCTAATGCAGTTTAAAATAAAGTGAAATTGAAAAGTAAAAACACCAGCAAACACCATCATTTCCAATGAACAAAATAAAGAAATGCAAGTTGGGAAAAACTGATCAATCAATTTTGACAGCTGTGCAAGTGCTTCACTGGTTTGTCCCTGCAATTCCCTCTCCTGTTTGACCATAAATTGGCCACCCCTGTTGACATTGAAACTACCATGTGGTGCATAAAATGAATTCTATCCCTTCTGCTACTTTTTTATTTGATTTACTTATCTTTTTATTAGTTATTAGCTGTTATTTATTTTTTTTTTTGTTAATTGTTAACTTCTTTTTTATCACTATTAGTTGTTCGCTTGCTTTTTGTAGTTATTCATTGTTAGTTTCTTAGCATAAATTGTTACTTTTTTTTTGTAGTTCCTTGTTAGCTTTTTTTTTTGTGAGGTGCGCGTCTTTTGTTAAAACAAAATGTTACGTAAATGAAAAATCAAGAACAATGATTTGTTTCTTTCATTTTTGAAAAATTATTTTGATTAATATTCTGGTTTAAGAGGTTTGCTTAATATTTTAAAACGACAAAGGGGTTTTGGTATATGTCTAGTTTTTGTATGCTTAATTAAGTATTTTCTTTTTAGGTTAAATTTATTTCAATGCTAAGTACTATACATAAATATTTCATGGCACATGGCTCGTCGCAGGCCCAAACAAGGAGCACTGAAGTGAATCTTGACTTAGGGATTACTTCGGACAAAAAGTTACTAAGTCAAATTTTATGTTTAAATAAATTAAAAAATATAAAAAAATTTAAGAAGTTTAAAAATAAAAAATTTAAAACTTATCCTTTAGCTGATAATTTGCAGATTGACAGCCATTCCAATGTATTTTTTTGTAGATGTTTTAATATTATTCATTTAATTCAGTGCAATTGCTGTAATTTGTGTTATGTTGGTCAAACAGGTCTTGAATTTCATAAGCGGATTAATTCCCACAGATCTGCTATAAAAAATTTTAATAATAGTAATTGTTCTACTGATTATGAAATTTTGCATTTTCAATTTCATGATTTTGATAATGTTACTCTTTTTATTTTAGATTTTATGGAAAATTTAGATAATAGACTTGATTTAGAAAACATTTACATTAGTAGTCTTAAAACTCTTTTTCCATATGAATTAAATAGTACATTTAAAGTTTTTAATTTTCCTAGTGTTTTTGATTCAAAGTATAGGAATAAAAAAGGTAGTGGAAAAGGTAATGATAAAGTTATTGATTTTGATGATTTTTCAAATAATTGTAACTTACCTGTTAATTTGAATAATATTTTTAATATTAGAAAATATATTTTTGGTTCTAAAATTAAATTTGATACTGAACTTTTTAAATTTATTGTTTTGGATTTGATTAAATCAAAACTTGGTGTTAGTAAAACTTATTTGCTCTTTAATAAGGATTCTAATGTTATTATGGACATATCCTAATGATCCTAATGATTATGGACATATTATTACGGGAAATTTGGAGATTGCTGGTGATCAAGATTTAATTAATATTTTAAGTAAAGGTTCAAAATTTAGGACAAGATTTAAAATGAAAAATGAAGATTTTATTTTATCCATTAAAAAGGATCTTGATTTTTTTATAGCAAAAATTTCCAGAAAATGTCATTGGCCCGTTAAGGGTTTTTCAGATTGGAAAGCTAAAATTATTGAAATAGTTAAATTTAATTTATTTAATACCAGTTTTAATTCATACCCTTAGTGGTACTATTATTGATTATGATTTGTCTAGAAATACAGTAGAGAACCATTTATCTGGTATCCAGATAACGGGGAAACCAGAAAACCGGGCAAAAATTTTGCTCGGTTTTCCCACCATTTTAAACTAGAATGATTATGAAAAAAAGCGGAAATTGAACTCATCCTTGAAGTTGAGTAGAGGAAAATGTAAGGAAGGGGAGAATTTTTTCCCCCGCTTACCCAGAGAAACATCATTTCCTCCCTGACCCTGAAGGCAGGGAGGGGAGGAATGTTTTATTTTCTCCATTAGGCTGTCAATCAAGCTCAAGAGTGTGGTATGCTGATTTCGTTTTCTGTTTGATTTATGAGGGGGTGGGGAAAATGCATTGCATGCATATCAGTGAACAGAAGATAAAAGAGAAAAATATATTTATCTATTTGGCATCGATTAATAAAAATAAAATCTTTTTCTTTTGAATAAATTCTCATTCTTTGGAAGTGCGGTATCACTTGCAAGTTTTTATTGATGTGGAATCACATCTGCTGTAATTAAAAATCATGTTTTTATCAACAAAAAAAAGGAGAATTGTTTATTAATTTTAACATAGGATTATTTTATGAAGCAGATTGCAGTTTTGTTTTTCTGATTCCACTACGTTTGATTTTTTTTTCTTTTCTTGATAAATTTCGCACTCAATAAATTAATTCTTTTTATTCATAAATTTTATCATTAGGTTTTTTTTTAAAATTCCGTTGATCTTGCCTTGTTCCGGGTTTTAATATTTATGCTAGTGCCTTTTTTAACTATCGTTTCGGTTCGATAATTTTCAAGTGTTTTTATTTAGATTAATAAGTTTTCCTTTTATTTTATCGTTTCCCCCCGTATAATTAGGTATGAAATATATTGCGTTATTTAATCATTGGTTTTGTTTATATTATTTAATTTAGGAATTGTAATTATTTTTAAAAAATAAATATGAGAATTTTGTATTTTTTAAACTTGATTTTCTTGTCTAAACTTGCAAATTTTTTTGTTCTTTTAAATGTTATATTTCTACCATTTTTTTTTCTTTTTAAAGTTAGGAGTACCTTTCTTTTTTCTCTTACTTTATGCATTACACTTTTTCCTTGTAATTTGGGTTCGATAAAACATAGATTAACAACACTTTTTGGTCGATCCAGAAAACCGGGAAATTCAGACATCCGGGATAGCGATGGTCCCGAGCATCCCGGATAATTGGTTCTCTACTGTATTAAAATTCTTAAAGATAAATTTATTTTTACTATTGTTGATAAAGCTTCATGTAATTTTTGTATTATGTGTAAATATTTTTTTTAAAAATTGATTATTGGAGAATATAACGCAAATAATACTTATTGAAAATTAAAAGAAGATAAGAAAGTTTTTGAAAAAAGAATTATTGCATTTAGTAAAAAATTAAAATTTAGGTTAAATAGGATTACATTTCCATATTTATATCCTATTGTTAAATTTCATAAAAGCCTGGTTAAATTTAGGTTTATTGCATGTGGTACTAATTGTTACAATTCTGATATTAGTAAAAAGTTTTTTAATTGCTAAAAATTATTTTACGTAAAATTAAAAAAAAGAAAAATATTGTTATAGATAGTAATGTTGAAGTTTTGGATTATATTAATAATAAATATTTCTAGCATTAATACTTTTCATTTTGAAAATTTGTATAGAAGTATACCACATGAACAGATTATTGAAATTTGTTGCAAAATTTATTTAATGAGAAAATTGATAAGTCTTATTGGTTGGATTTATGTAGGTTTAATCTTTTTGAGAATGTTCTTTTTAATGGTTTAGATTTTTATAAAGAAATTATTGGAATTCCCCAAGGTAATTCCTTTTGTGGTGCTTTTGCTAATATTTTTTTGCATTTTTTTGAAGCTAAATTTCTTGAGTATAATGAATTTAAAGTTTTCACATATATTGATGATTTGATTTTGTTTAATTGTGATAATTTTAATTTTGTTAATAGTTATTATGCTAAAGATTTGGTTTTAAAGAAAACCAATGAGAATTGCTTAAATGTTGAATATTTAGATTTTAAAATTGATATTGTTGATAAAATAATCAAAATTGGTGTTTTTGATAACAGGAAAGCTTTTAAATTTAAAGTTATTTTTTTCTTCAACTTTCATACTAATCTGTGTAATAACATTTTTAAAAATTTAGTTTTTTCACAATTGGTTAGGATTAAAAATATTTGCAATAACGTTGAAAGGTTTCAGAAGGCTGTGAATAATTTTTTTGAATAATTTGAGTAATGATGTTTTTCCTTTTAACTTTTGTAATGTTAAATTTTTGATTAAGAAAATGATTGAAGAATACTAGATTTTTATTTCTTATAACAGGGCGCAATTCAAGTCTGAACTGAGCAGCCCTAGTTAAGCATTATGTTAATTTCTTACGTTATCTTCTCCTTCACTTCTTTTTTTCAATCTGTGCATTTTAATAGATTCTTTTGTTTTAAGTGTTTCCTTTGCATTTAGTTTGTTTGTGAAATCACTGTTTGGCTGGTGTGAGTTTTTATTTTCTCAAGTTTTTGCTTGAATTTCTTTTCTGAATTGGTTTTATGTATTTCATGTATTTTTTCCTGGACTTATACAAAACCTTCGGGGTACTGAGAGAGTTACTTTTTGCATTTAATTTTGCCTCTCTCTCAAAAGAAAAGGTTTTGTTTTATGGCTTCCGAAGGCCGGTATCCCCTGAAGACGCCGGCTTCGTTGGTCATAATTTTAGTTTTATTTCCATCATTTTCTTTATTGCTATATTTATTCTTCCTTTTGGATTTTCTGCTGTTTTCTTTCAAAGAATGTTTTGTCAGTTAAAAATTAAATATTTTGTATTCTTTTACCAAGAACAATGATCTCGCACCAAGAAGAAATGATTATTTCTTCTTAGGATTATTTCAGCTTGCATTATTTCTTTCTTCGGATTATTTCTTCTTGATTACATTATATAGATTATTATTTTAATTGATGAAATTTCTTAAGATGGGACAGTTTTAAATTCACCCCATCATAATCTACAATCGAAACTTAGCTAAATTTATTGGTTTTTCTGAAATTAACAGCATAATAGAATTATCGTAATATATGGGCGCAATATTGGAATTTCCGGAAGAGATTCGAAATTCGGCAAATTCCGAAATACGGAATTTTGTCGGTCCTGTGAGTCCCGGATTTTGGGTCCTATACTGTACTACCAGTCCTAAGCCTAGAAAAAGTATGAAGGGAAGTCAGTGCATAAATAATAATTATTTAAACTAGATTTTAAACAACTTTCCAACTATCTAAACTTTTCATTATCCGAACCATGTTCGGTCCAGAGCAGTTCGGATAATCGGCGCTCTACTGTGTATATATATATATATATGAAAACTAGAGAAAATTTCATCACAATTTGATACTTAGGTTAAAAATATGCATTATTTATTTTTACCAATTTAAATAGTTTAAACTTTTATTTTACTGATTATGATCAGCAGAAGATAAAAGGATGATTGTTATAGTTATTGTTTATGCATTATATATATATATATCCTGCATATTTCATTTTTCATACTTCTCAGATTAAAGAACTACTGAAACATATTGCTACATTTTTATTCTTTTTACAATGGATAGCTATATATTTGTAACTTATATTCTAAAGCTACCTAGAATTATATTTCTTATCCATATCCAAAATCCATATAGATTACAGCTTACAGTGAATTTGAATAAATATAATTAGTGAACATATTTATATTTTACTATTATTTAGTAAAAAAGTTATAATCCAATAAAGTAAAGTACTAAATTCAACATAAAATACACATAATTTTTTTAAAAAAATCTTTAGATTCAGTTGCAAAAAGTAGTATTTGACAAAAATGACTAGGAAAATGCATAAACCAACTGTCATACACATTAGCTTCGCCATAAGTATAGGTGTGAAAACAACATAAAAAGCAGAAAAATATAGACATTAGGAAACTATGATGCGATATAAGGCAATGCAATACTTAAAAAAAGCATAAAAAGATACAAAATATAACAGAAAGTGTAGAAAATAAACAGCAATAGAAAAATGGAAGTCTCTCAATGCTTCATTATAGTTATTTTTTGTTTTGTAAAAATCAGAAACTAAATGGCCTTTATTTACTTGGAAAATATTTTATCGACAAAAAAAAGAGTGATAGAAAATGCATAAAGAATGACAAGCCAAAAATTCATTTTGAAAATTAAATTAAACTAAACTGATGTTGAGAAAAGAAGAAAAAAAAGAATACCCTCTGTTAACTTTATATTAAAGATACTGTCTGCTAACAAAAACAAATTTTCAAAAAAATTATTTTTCTAGAGTCCCATTAAAAGGGGTAAATATATTTTTAAGTTTCATATCACAGTAGTAGTACTCAGTTTCCTCAAGAATATTACAGCATATACACTAACATGATACTTGTATCTGGGAAATTATGGGCTATTGTGTTTGAAGGGTTATGTTAGAAATGTACTTCATTGCAAAAAAATACTGATTAACTTTAAAAAACTCATAAAATATTTCTCTACAGACATCATTTAAATTCTTTGATACCTTTCCTTTAGAGATTTTTTTGAAATCATTGAGAATGCCTTTTACTTTTAATTGCTTGCTGTGAATTTCGGTAACTATAAAAAAGAATTTTGCTACCCTTTGACTTCATATTAAAAATGTTGTACAGCATTAAAAAAAATATTTGTTTCCTCGTGACTTCCTTAAATTACTCTGAGTTTCAAATACCATATATATTCAGTCCAAATTTTATATTAATATTGGATACTTGACTATTTAATCCCATAACGATTATATCCCTAAATTAAAGCAATTAAAATATCTTCCTTTTGTCTTTTTGGTTTTAAGAGAAATTTTTTTTTTAAAAGTTACCTCTCTTTTTTTAGCTTCATTTTTTCCATACTTTGTGAAAAGGTAGGAAAATATATTTCCAATACAGCAAGCCACATGAACCAAAGGACCTTCTTTGCCTAGAAATAATTTAAATAATATTTTATAGCACAATTCTAATTTTCCAAATAACTTGTTTTTAAGCTTAGTAAGCATTAAAAGAACTAAAATATTTTATAAAAGAGTTACTTAAAAAATTTTAAAATTTAATTTAAAAAAAATTTAAAGTTTTCATACCAATAATTAGTACAAACAATTTATGGTCATACACTATTATATTATACAATATACACATTTCAGTCCATGGGTGTCACAAGGGCACAATTTTTGAGGAGGACTAAATGAAATTACATAGACACAAAAGCTTTCTAAGTTTCACATGTAAAGAAAGAAAATTCTTAAATGTACTAAATACCTGCAAACAGATTAACTATTTTATATCTTTCTTATTTTAAACTTTAAAAAATGTATATTGATGACAATAAGGAGACTCTAAGTGACTATTAAAAAGAAAAACTAGGGAAAATATGTTTGCAATCATTTGTTGATTAGGATGCATAAACTTTCATATATAATTTAGACTGTGTGACTAAATATTTAGCAAAACAGAATAACTAAGTACTCAATTGCTGAAGATTTTTATTGCAAGGTGAAGATCTTTTTGATTTAATTAACTTATTACCTTAATAAGTATTTTAAACAATTTTTTACTCAAAAATATAATTTTTAATCAATATTAATGCCAAAATGCATAATAATTAGTATTCAACACACGGAATATTCAGCAGACCAAATATTCATTAATTGGCAAAAATCAGTAGTCAGAGCATTCCAAATAACCACTCCAATAACTATCATACATATTATTTTATGCACATAAATTACAAATTCAAAAGCAAACCTAAGCTGAGTCCAGCAGCTACAGCAAGCATCATGCCTATCGACTTAATTGTAAGAGTCCATTTACCAAGATATCCTCGGATAATAAACCCACTTAATATTGTTTTTATCTGCAAAAGAAGAAATCCGATTAAAAAAGTGTGTACAGGATTTCTACAAGCTTTTTGTTTAACTAAGGCATTCTCAAAACTATAATCAGAAATTATGCTTTTATATTTTATGAACAGAAGTTGGAGAAAACTTAAAAATGTAAAGCATTTAAATTTTGAAATTATCTTTAAGTATATTTCACAATATTTTTAAAATAATTAAGTGTAATTGCAATCTATATTAAGAAAATTGTCCATGTTATGCAAATTAGAAAAATTACAGCATAGGGTATTGAATTACATAAAAATGTGGACTGCAATAGTTAATACAGTCTAAAATGACATTCTATGTGTGCTTTTCTAAATAATTTTAATCAGCAATGCCAATACAAGATTTTGAAGCATAACTATTTTTTATCCAAATAATAGTTGCAACCATATAATAAAGAAGGGTAAAGGAAAAACGATTTCTACAATGGATTTCTCAACAAGCATATCATATTTTTTTGTTCTGATATCCTTGATGAAACAAATGTTTAAAAAAAATTAAGAGTAGGAAAGAGTTTAAAAAAAAGGCTAACTTAAACATTAATAACTTTAATGTTATTAATTCATATGTATTTCATTTAATAACTAATTTTTGTTGAATGCAAGTATAACTTGGAGAGAATAAATTATTATAACTTACTTTAGTTAGCACAAAAAATTTTAAATCTATAGCATTTTTTCAATATTTTATAGCTTGCATCTTAATTTCATAAACTAATCTTTAAAAAAAACAGATATTAAGGATAAAAATTGTAGGATTATTAAAGAAATAATCAAGAAAATTAATGACACTAAAAAGATTATTTAATTTAAATCAATTTATAAAACTTTTCACTACTAGCACCACTTAACTTGAGTTTTCTGATAAATAAATAAAAAAGATACGAACCTCAGGTATTCCGGATCCACATGCATACGGAGCAAAAGTTCTGACAAGTAAAACAGCAAGCGCAGCAAATAAAAGGCTCCATAAAATATACATGATAAACTCAATAGCTGTTGAACCAAAATTAATACTGTAGTAACCAAATTCTTCTGGCCAAGTATGCCACTGCAAGAAAATATATTTCAAGGTTTTTAATTGAATGCATATATTTCACATTATAGAAAAGGCTTGAATATTCAAAATGCATAGATAGTATTTGCAAATTTTAAATAAGCAAAAATTTTGAATACACAGTATCAAAATATTTAGTTTGGCATATAACAAATTTTCAAGAAAAGTGCAGTACTTTAAAAAAAAACTTATTAAAAATATAAGTAAATTGAAATGAAAGAAAAACAATTTATAACAGATGTCCATAAAAAATAATTTCGAAGAAAAATAAGAGTTTGATAAAAATTAAAAAAAATAATAGTAACAAAATTACAAAATTGAAAAAAGCATATCTTGAAAAAAAAAAAATAATAATGTTTAACTTATTATTTTTTTTTATTTTATTATTTTTTCCACAAGTTATCAGTAATTATACAATAATGAGTTTATTTTAAACTTTAAATAAGCACAAATAAAACACAATCTTAATAATGTATCTGTTTATTTTTATTTTATTACAATAAAAAAATTTATTTTTTAGAATTATTTGCAAATTCATCTCTTTTGTCCATCATTAAAAGTAAGAAAAAAATAAAATAAACATTTCATAATAAGTTTTAAAAAAAAACACGCATATGAATAATAAAATTAACTCAGATTATTTGACATATCTAACAATTTAATACCAAAATGTATACATTCATAATAATGTACGCATCCATTTTATCAATTGAAAATAATAACCAATTAAGATTTTTCAGGCCATTTATCATATATACCAAGCTCTCTGAACACATAACTACTTGGTACAATATGCCATACAAAAAAAATAACTTACGGGGAGAACAACATACTCAGAATTAGTAGAGCATCATATGTACTAAGATTCAGCGGATAGGCAGATAGGCATAAGAAGTAATCCGATGGTCAGGTATAATATGTCACCTGAACCTATTATTGGTTGGCTGCGTTGCTTTCAGCCAACTGCTATTTTATTTATTTGTTCAATTCCAAAATGAGCTGGCAAATACAATCAACATGGGAATTTTCAAATAAATGTCTAAAAGAGTAGCAAAGAACTGTTAATAAATAGTGCAAAAATGCAGTAACAGACCAATTATAACTAAAAAGAGAAAACATTCCTGCTCCTCCCCAACTCTGACATTGATTGGGGAACATGTGGGTATCCTCTATTACTGTGTCCCTACATGTAGCTTTTCCTTTATACTTAGGGGCCTACCCTTCCTTGGGGAACCTTTTTACATTACATCTATGGAAACTAGTCTTCTTTCCATTTGTAAATTGTTTTGGTATTAAGTTGCCAAATAACTGTGATAACTTATACCTCATGATCATTTCTGTAACGATTGATACCTTTTGATCTACAAAAAATGTTATTAGATAGCCTTTTTTCAGCTGATTGAGCTTAACTTGGTCAAATATTATACAGTGACAGTGTTTGAATGTTTGTTGATCAACAATGGGGTTAGCAGTCAAGAGTTTGGCAGAAAATTGATGAGGATAATGTTTGTTTCGCCATTGCAATATCAGTTGAGATAAAGATATATGATAGTCAGGGTCAACGATAAATCACCAGGAACTAATATAGTGTAATATACCCAATAAAAATGCTAACAGATTCCAATGAGAATGGAGAGGCACCAGTTTCAAATAAAGATCTGAATAAGAGGGTCAATTTATACTTATTTAGTTTATAGTTTCCATACATTTAAAATAATTTATAAATTTCACACCCACAACTAGTTTCATTCTTTCTTGAATCATTATGTTGCCTTTGTTACTTAAAAAATGTAGCCAATAAGTTTCAAGTGATTTCAGATCTTTTAGAAGCAAAAACCTTATTACTGATTGTACTTCCATGACTAAATTTTCAATCTCAGTGTGCATTAGTGTGTAGAAAAAACTGCATAGTCACAAACTTTGTCAAGTTTGATGCATACCAGGGATCAAATATTTATTGCCCGACATGCCTGGGGCATGCAAAAATTCAAATCAAGCACTCTCTCAAATTTCAGTGAAAATTAACAAGATGCCTGATAAGGCAGATCACAAGTATTGAAGGGAAAGAAAAAAAAATTAAATTAGTTAAGGCCGAAATATTAGTAAATTTAATTATATAACTAAGAATTGATGAAACAATGTTAACAAATTTTTTTTATACTTCTACTCATACTTATTTTAATAAATAAAGTTTACCTCAATTGTTGAGTATAAAAAAAAAATTAATAAATTTAAATATCAATATCTCAGGAGAGACATCATTTTTATAAATTTATATCTATTTCCAATCATTAATGAAATATGATAGTTAAAAAATTTAATATGAATAAGCATTGATGAGAAGGAACCTTCAGATTAATAACAGAAATATTCATACATTTTCATTAATATGTATTAAAAAAAGATGTTAGGCATGTGAAATTAGGGCATGTATCTCGTACAGTGATCAGAAGTAGCGCACTACAAGTAGTGAAACTAATTAAAGACACAAATTTTTCTCAGTTTGCAGTGTGCTACTTTTTTACAAAAGTACTGTAGCGAGTAGTGCAATTACAAAAGAACAGTAGTTTCTAGCGATTCCAGGAATCTACTTTTAACGTTAGTTTAGTATAGAAACAAGGTTCTAACTCAGCAAAATTTTTGAATTTGATGCGTACAAATCTTTGTGCAGGTCTGTTAATGGAGGCAATGAAAATACCTTTCATGCTATGGCTGAGTGTTAACAAGAATTGCTTATTTAGAATCACGTGTAACTAAAACTTAAGAATACATCACGAATAATAGAAAATTTTTCACTTTGGTCACACTTTTACATACAAATGTATACACATGTAATATAGATGTTATTTCAAAGGAAAGGAACATATTTTTGATGTGTTACTCGTTATTTCCATTCATTTCTTAATATAAATATTTGCTGCCGAAAAAAGCATAAAAAGTTGAGAAAGTTAAATTAACAAACTAAAGAATGTTTTAGAACAACAAACTGACTCATGCAAACGTAAATAAATATTTCTTGATAATTCAGGTTTAATATAAGCCAATTTTCCATTCAATACCATTTTGAACATAGGTATAAATTAATTTGTACTGCAAAGTTAGTCTCCTTAAAGTAGTAACTACAGTTCGAAAGTAGTTAGTAGTCACTACATTTAAAAAAAGTAGTTGTAATAAACTACAAAAATAATGTAGTTTTTCCAACCACTGATCCAGTAAGCCAACATGTGGAGCTGGGCAAGTAAAAATGTTACGACTTTTTTAGCACTGGTGCACACAGGACAATGGAAAAGGCTTGATAATAAATCAACATCACTAGCCATGCCTCTGGTCAACAAAACTCAACTATATTACATGAATATTCAATAATTTGAGATTAAACCATATAGTCTTGTTTCTACATTCAACTAAGGAATACTATTAGTAAAGCAAGATATAAATCTATGTGAAATTTCAACTTATTACATATTATTTGCATAACTTGTTTCAACAGTGAATTTAAATTTTTTAGTATCTAGAAAATTAGTACATCATTAATTTAAAGTTCACCTGTGCACATTTATCTCCTTCATAGAAGGTGTCATTGCTAGACCAACAACATTGCTCACGATTCAACCAAAATGCTTCAGGACATATGCCTTCTTTAAGATCTTTCATCCACCCAGCACCTATGTCTATTATACCAGATACAACACCTATAAATAGACAAAACTTTAAAAAGAATGTGGCGATAAAAGTATGAGATGTAGCATCAGCAAAAATGGATTGATAAATTAAATATACTAAGGTACACCGTCTGAATATTGCTAGGTAATATCAGAATTTTAAATATTGCCAGAATTGGCAGTTTTAAACCATAATACAAACAAAATATTTTATTTTTTTTTAAAAAAAAAAGGAAAAAAAGTCATGATTTTTTATTCAAAAAAATCTCTGTAATTATTTAAATTTCTATTAGTATTTATATACTTTTAGCTTGAATATAACTAAATGAAAAATATTAAATTTCTTCAAAAAGTTTTCAATTTTAAATTTAATGCAAATACTAATGAGTATCACTTTAAATAAATACAAGCATGTAATTTTTTAATGAAATGCTTATGGATCATTGCATTGCTTTCCTGCAAAAATATCAACATAAAACAAATTAATGCAAGTAAATTTAAGGCGAGGTTACAATGTCTCTAAAAATAGACCATCACCATTCCTTGTTCCGATAGTTTTCAAAGGTAGTTAAATGACATAATTATTCAACAACCTAAGATAAGTTTCTCTAACTTTTCTTTCTATCTTTTTAAAGATATATTATGCCTGTTACAATCAAAAGAATATATAGGAATGGAAATATGAATTTTATATTTTCTTTTCGGGTTTTTTTAAGAAGTATTTTCTGCTACTAAGGTTAAGTGCCCTAAGTCTTTTATGTATATATTATAAAAGTATTTGATCTATGAGAAGCATGTTGAAAGACATACTGAGAGACAGTGAGAAAACGTATGTTGAGAAACAAGCAAAAAAAAGATATAGGGTGCAACTGTTGTACCAGCAATCTCCAAACGAATAGTTAACACAAATAGTAAATACCAAAAAACATTTATGAACTAAAAATAAAGGATCAAATTTTGATATTTTGGAAGAATAATTAGGAATTGGGCAAGTCCAGAAAATGGATTTGATAGTCACATTTAATATCATTCATTTTGAAAGTTTTTAAGAGAAAAAAACAATGTTGTATTATTCAATAAAAACTAACAAATTGTCAATAATTAACCACAATTTCATACAATATTTTCATATAGGTGAGTATGATAATATATATATATGGGTGATTCTCATGAAACATGACAATTCGGACCGAACAATTTCTTCAAATTTAAAGTCTTCAAAATAATCTAAAATTTTTTTTGTATACTACTTTAGCTACACTTATTAATATCTTATAGAGAGCAGTGTAATTTATTGACATTTGCTCGAGGAAAAAAAAATAGAAATTCACCAAATTTTGAATGCCAGGAAAATGACATATTACCTTAGAAGTTTAAGAAACAGTCATTTTAAGTTAATAGTAAGTAACTCAACTTAAGCCTTTATGTTAGATGAACCATAAATTGCTTAAATTAATTCTTTTTATCCACTGTAGAAAGAAAAGAAAAAAAATTTGAGGCTGATATGTACAGAATAAAATTGTGTATAATAATCAATCATTAAATAAATAAATAACTTTGATTACATCCAAGCATATTACAATCATACATAAACTTGGTATTAGGTTAATATTTGCTTTCCCTCTTTACAGTATTAGCAGTTAAAAAGAATTTCTGGTAACACTTCAATGTCCTGGCATTCATAAGCCAGGAAAATGACAGCCAGGATAATGACAAATTCGCNTATATATATATATATATATATATATATATATATATATATATATATATATATATATATATATATATATATATATATATATATATATATATATATATATATATATATATATATATATATATATATATATATATATATATATATATATATATATATATATATATATATATATATATATATATATATATATATATATATATATATATATATATATATATATATATATATATATATATATATATATATATATATATATATATATATATATATATATATATATATATATATATATATATATATATATATATATATATATATATATATATATATATATATATATATATATATATATATATATATATATATATATATATATATATATATATATATATATATATATATATATATATATATATATATATATATATATATATATATATATATATATATATATATATATATATATATATATATATATATATATATATATATATATATATATATATATATATATATATATATATATATATATATATATATATATATATATATATATATATATATATATAAATGAGCAAATAATAATTTAAACTTTTTCTTCCACAGATAAAAACACATGTTTCTCCTCTTTTTTTCCTTTCATTTGACAAAACAAATTAGCGCAGATAATCAGATAAAAATAACAAAAAAAAACAAGCCTCAAATTTTAAAAGTAAATTAAAAATGTTACAAGTTGGAAAAAAAATAAACAGGAAGTAATATTACAAATTTCAGGAATCACTTTTTTAAGCACTTGATTATTAAAGATTCACACGTAAACCCATGTGCTTTTATCGATTGCATTTTCATTATTGCCACGGAATTTCATAAGATTTATGAAACCTCACTTTTTTTATGCTATATTGTTTTGAATTGAAAATTTTGAAATATGCATTTGAATAATCATTTTTTGGTGCAATCAATTTGTAAACATTTTACTGTCCATGTAACTTTGTCAATCGCATTTTCAACAGTTATTGCTTGGAATTTTCATAGAATTTTTTAAATTTTTGATTTTTTTCTGATATACTATTATAATCCAAGAATTTCGCAACACACTTTTGAATAATCACTTTACAATGTGCTCCAAGTGTGAAATTCTTTTAATGGTAGTAATATTTCTATGCAAATCAAGATGGAAAAAAAAAACACTTTTTCAGGCTTTAGTGAAATGCCGCTGGAATCACAAAACACAGGATTTTGTTTCTGTGATATCTGATTTTTTTATCATATTAAGAGTGAAAATTGGATAAAAATAAATAAAAAATCATAAAAAGTGGAAATTAACGGAAAAGCGGAGGATTCCCATCCTTGTTGGTTTTAAATTCAAAGAAAGTAGATTCTAGTATCTTTAATAGGGCAGCATCCGCCAATTTGAATTTTGTTCCGGTTTTTTGGTTTTCCGGTTTTCTGATTTCCAGATAACGGGTTCTGTACTGTATTTGTATAAAGACTATCCTAACATATATGTTTTGTGTTGTTTCATGTTCAGCTAAGGAAAATTCTATATAGGAATAGTCTTAATTATAACTTAAGGTTGGTGAAACCAACCAATATTTCTGTTATAGGAAAAAAAACTATCAAACACTGTACCCAGTACATCCCTAGTTCTGATTTTTATTTCAGGAAATATAAGTATAGCATATGAAAAATAAACATATGTACAATAGTTTACATATTGATTGCCATCAAGACATTTCAGAAATTAGTTTTTTTTTTTACTGATCCCTTAAACTAGAAACTTAACTATTACTGAAAAATATGAAAAATTGCACCATTTCAGCATATCGTTTTAGAAATTTCTAAAAAAAAAAATTCTAGGTAGCTTTTGTCCACATGGTCTTGATCAAATAAGATAATGCAATAGAAACTAAAAGAATTTTTTTAGCTCTTTAAGTGTCAGCTTCAGGTTATTTTGGCAGCTTTTGTCCACATGGTTTTTATCAAATAAGATAATGCAATAGAAACTAAAAGAATTTTTTTAACTCTTTAAGTGTCAGCATCAGGTTATTTCGAACTTAATGTTTCTGGCTTTTCTGCATCATAAAATCAGGTTTTAGCCAAATTATTCAATTAAAAAGTATTGCAGAGCAGGAAAAATTCCATAACAATTGCGAATTGTGAGAGTCAAAACACTTAGAAGGTTAAAAAGGAACTTTTAATAAAAACCTACCAGCTGCTAAACCAGCCAAAAGAACACATAGCCAACCAGACCAAGCATCATGAAAACCACGCATTAAATCACAAATTGAATCTCCCCTTTTCTTTACAATATGCCGATGTCGCATTCTATCTCTTGCAATATCTCGTTGCCAGTCAATGGTATGAAAATCATCATATTGACCAATCCCAGGAGGTAACTCTTCAGTATCTCCTGAAGTAAAAATACATATGTAAATAGAATATTCATATTTAGTATGCATACATATAATTGCATGTATAAACTATTATACTGACCTACAATAAAATGATGCAATGAATCTTTTTAATTATTACCATACATACAGATCATCTGAAACTACTTTGTCACCAGTACCCGTTGTAAACCAACAATACCAAATGATATTACAAGTTCTCTTATGCAAAATAAATCAAAAGTTAATCTTTTGTTTCTCTTATATTATTCAAAAGAAATTAGGTCTAACTAGTTATTTTTATCATATTTTTTTATGGTAAAAGAGGTCAATGACTTTGAAAATTAAGTCACAGATAGTAGTAGAAAAAAATGAATGCCCTGAAGATGAATTATTACAGATCCTGAAATCTGTTATAATTTTCTAGATCTCTAATGAGGAAAATCATCCGCCCGAGTTCCAAATAAAACATGATAAGTTCACTTCAGTCCCTTTTTTAATGTGAAACTTTAACAACTTTATCAAATATTGCATATTCAACAATTTTTAAAATTTATTTTTATTTTATTGTTTTATATGTCTAGACATATAAAACAATATAAAATATAAAACAATAGACACATAAAACAGTAGAAGAACAGTAATAGAAACAGTTGCACATTTTAAGAAACCTTCTTATAAATAAATGCAAAATACATGAAGTTGTTTAGAATTAAGAAAAGTGTTCAGTTATTAATATTTTATAATCTTCTAATGATGCTTCATCTGACAAGGAAGGGGCATGACTTGGGAAATTTATATTTTGGGATGCAAGTTTATGTATTAGTAGTATACTCTTAAGTAATGTAATTCAATTACATGTAAGAATATAAGTAGTCTCATAATCTAAAATTATAAAGTATGTTTTAATTGAATGAACCAGTTGTTTTAATTAAAGCATGTTTTCATTTGAGTATACCTGATAGTGTATAATTATGAGTCAATGTCTTTTAAACAATGCCTGTTGCACTTACTTTCATTGCTAAATTTTTCTTTAAGTCAAATATTTTAAGTTTTGCTACTTGGTTTTAATTTGAGGATGGGAATTTTTTCACCAATGATTTCTAATTTTCCATAAGCTCATCTAGATTTAAGATTTTAAATTATTTGATGTGCTGAGTTAATAGTGTCATAAGCAATAAGAATATTAACTGTAACAGATTATTGGTAATTCATTAAATACATGAAGAAAAATGGCAAATACAATATTGACTTTCAACCTTTGCTCTCCACTAAGCTGGCTACTGAGTGGATATTTTAATGTAGTGGAGCATCCATGACCAATCTTTTGTCAAATACCAAAACAAATTGTTTTGTTTATAACAAACAATTTGTTTGTTATAACAACAAATTGTTTGATGTTAACAATTCTAAACCGTTCTAACAGTTCTAAATAGAACTCTGAATCATCAACATGCAGATGTTTTTGTTACACTGACAGCAAAAGGAAAGATTTGGGTTTTGCTACACTTCGAGCAATAGAAGCTCTAGAAAATGTTTTGGTTTGCATAAAATGCACTACCTTTTGATATTCCTAAGATGTTAGACATATCTTGCAACTTTCTGTTACAGTTGTCCAAAACAATTTTGGGCAGTTTTATTTTAATGCTTTTAGTTTCATTTTATTTCGATTTCCCTAATGTTATTTATCAGCCGTGTTGATATGGCCCATAAAACTATTCTGCCAATAAAAAATTGCTTAATCAACACACAAAAAAGCCTACTACACTAAAGGAACCCAAACAAAATGAAAGAGCACTGTGTTTAGTTAAGAAACACTGCATTATGGAAGAATAATATCAAATATGGGAAGACTGTAAAAATGGAACAGACAAAAATCTAAAACTGATGTTTGTCTTATTTGCAATGTTTAACAATGGTAATACCATTTCTGGATATTGCATAACACTCTCTATTGAAAAGCAACCAGATTTGTAGCAGATAAACCAATTATATTTTTTGGGATGCACACTGTTTCCTCTTTGAATACCAGTTAAATAGTGTAGGTGTGATTCCTTTTTTCATAGCCTCTAATTTTTATCAATACAAAAAAAAATAATAATAAATAAAAAAAATAACATCACCAAGCTTTACACAAAATTTAATATAGAAGCATTGCATTCCTGTTATTCAAAAATAATGCAAGTGCTCACTTACCCACCTTAGTCAATAGGAGTAAATTAACAAATGACAGGTTTTTTAAAAAGAAAACATTTCAAAAAAGGTTGTCCAACTTTATACGCCTCCAGCTTCATTATTTTTAGGCACAAAAAATTATAGATTAATATTTTTTAACCGACCAAGAATACTGATTTTTTGCCTTCAATTCTTTGACCTGTCTTTAGGTCTTTACAAAAGCGAAATCATTTACCTTGATTAATTGAACATTCATTATCAGAATCACTACAAGAATCTGGGAGGTCTGTCAGAGGAAAATATTTCTGTTGACCAGGTACACCTACAGGTATATGGAAATAAATGAGAAGAACTAATACAAAAATTCATGCATAAAGAAAAAAAAAGGGGGGGGAGATTTTAAAGAAAGAGAGACAACCAAACATACATGCACACAAAAAAAAAGAACATAAGGTAGTCTACAATTTCCACGAAATTTTTAAAATCTCAACAACTAAATATAGGGATATGGAAGCATTTTATTTACAAAGTACGGACTTAATTTTTTAGCATACATCATTTTGAGATTGTTTTGAATAAAATTGCATAATAATTATAATGGCTTGTAAAAAATATTCTTCTTCTGAAACAAAACAGAAGTTTAGCAAAAAACTTGCAAAATAATTAACTAAGAAAAATTTAACTGAAGCTTATAAATTAAACATTACACAAACATTAATAACTTGTAGAAAATTTAAAATCCTTTTAAGTAAAGAAAAAGTTAAATAGTTATTATCAGCAACAATGGATGACTCCCTGAGAGCAAAAGAATGCCATAAAGAGTGATAAAGCTTTACTCTAATAATTATAGGCGTTATAACAAGGTCACACATTGAAAATGCTTGACTCTGAGCAATCTGAGGGAATCAAGGTATTCCAGATAGCTGAATGCCAAAAATTTAGGATTTCTATATTTTCCGAAATAAACATTCCACCATATTAAAAATGTAGATAAATAAAAGTTCATCAGAAAACCAGCTTATAAAACAAATTAATAAAGATAAATTAATATAGGAATAAGAATTGTTGATAAAAAAAATTTTAATAATAACTATAGGTAGAATAATAGCCATGACAATATAATAAAAATAAATTTTAAAAAACGAAAATTCGTTTGAAGAAAACACAAGAGAAAAGCAAAAAAAATTTTTTAATTCATACCATCAGTACTTTAAGGAAATTTGATTGACAATGAAGTAAAACATTTTTTTTAGTAAGGTGTATTCATAATTGTATTACACATTAATATCCATAGCTCTTGTTGACCACTTGCAACATTAAACTTTACATTCATTCCACTTTATTTTCATTAGTCCTGTTTAAATAAGCAAAAATCAGAACACCATTAAATAAATTCTTTTTTTTTTTCATTATTAATTTCTGAGGTTTTTCTTTTTATAAATTATTATTATTTTATTTATAGATTCATTTTAGTTGATTTATTTTGCATGCTTTGAGTAAACAACAGTTCTTTTTTTCTGAAAGTGAATCATTTTTAAAGACTGCTACTTCTTTAATACAGGATAGATGGAACTCAAAGAAAGAAGAGCAAAATTAAAATGAAACAAATAAGCTAAAATAAACATTCAGATTATTCTGTATCTCATACAAATTAATATAAGCTTCAATTTTACTTACTGAAATCAATGATTGGTATAATTTTTTTTAGAGGGAAGAGAAAATGATTTCACATTTGGAAAACTTGTTCTTCCCTAGAGTAAATTCTCTAGGAGAAAAATTTTTTTTTATTTCTTTACTTTATCAAAGATTTTAAATAATCCACAAATTTTCTTAAATTAAACATTTTTGCTACAAATATAACAAAAACAAAATATTTGTAATTTTTTTATCTGCAAAAATGAAAAGTTGGTACAAAAATTTCAAAAAAGGAGAACATTTTAGATAAGGTTGAATAATTCAGTATGGTGTTTCCATACCTTCATTATACTCCAATCATTTCCCACAACTGCCAAGTATTATTGGAATGAAATATCTCAGTAATGTATTGAACTCTGGTCAAAAACCTAATGTAGCATAGTTAAAGGACATCAAACAAATCCTTAAGTAGCAGGGCTAGGAAAGATCAAATGGAACAGACCTCTCAGTCATATGAAATAATGATATCAAAACTAATGGATATTAATAATTTAAAAGTTACAAGTAGAGTTCCATAAATCGTATGAAAAAAATTTTAAATTGTGGGACAATGATATGGAAATGTCTTAAAAATACCTTTACAGGTTAGGGACAAACTAGGAAAGGAGTGAAAATTAAAAAGAAAGGAAAAAAAAACAAGATAAATATCCTTCTTGTTTAAATAAAATTGTTCAATAGAGGCAGTACAGATTCTAAAGAAGTTATCTTTTATTAATACTCAACATCACAGTGATTATAAAAGAAAGTGAAGTTATACAAAAGATAACCATTTCTTCAAACTTTGTCTTTGTTTCATAAAAATTTAGCAGTAACAGGACTTAAGTCTTTCACCGTTCACCAAATTAGAGAGCTAAGAGAGCACTTGCCTTGCTTCACTTATAAAATCTGGAAATCTTTCTGAGATTACCAAAGAATTTCAGAAAAATCCAGGTTAAAACAGTTTTTAATATATTCTGTATATGCAGCATACTTGAGATTTAAAGACAGATTATTCAATCCTGAAATATATTTAAATACACAGTAGTCATCAAAATTTCAGTATTTTAGTTTGTCATTTATTCTGGATCAAAACATTTATCAGCTTCCATAAAGTTTAATGCTGATTGACAACAGTTAATGACAAATTTATCTGGTAAATGAAATCCTGTTGCAGAGAAAAAAATAATGCAGACATTTGGCAATAATGTTCAAATTTGGAGATTATGAGATTTTCCACATTTTTGTACAATTATTCTTTTTATTCTAAAAAACCCTTATAATTTCAAAACTATTAGCTCGTCGTGTTGGATTGGTCTCGATTAATTCAGCAGAAAAAATACATAGGTAGCAATATAACATTTGTCTAAACAGCAATGTCAGATGTGCATAAATCAAAATTTTTATATCTAAAACTCTTATTACTTCTAAACTATTAATTTTAAAAACTTGGTTTTGGCCTCATTCAATTATTAGTAAAAAAAAATACTTAACTATAAATCACTAGTCCAAATAATATATATGAAATATTCGGTGTATCCACGCCAATATTTTCTAGTTAATAACGTAAAAGCAGCATGATTAATGAGTCCATGTTGTGCATAATCTTTTTTATTTTACTAAACGATGGTGAAATAGCAGTTTAACCCCTCTCCAGACGGAGATGAGGGGAGACCCATATCCCGTCTAAGCTGACGGATTTTATTTTAGCATGATAAACAACAGAAAAGCCACGCAAAAACATTCGGTCCTGCATTTTATAGGATGATTACAAGTTGTAAAGCGGCCAGTCATTATTGCCTTTTTCTGTATTCTTACGCCTCATCAATTTATTTATTGCTCATAGCAAATTGTTTAATCTTTCCTTATATGGAAGTGAAAGATCTTAAAATAACTTCTCTTTTGAAGTATAAATCTAATTATTATTCATTGGCATGTTTTTAGCCTTGAAGTCCCAAAATAGAATTTCTACCCTTATCCTTCACTAAAGATATTTTATGAAAAGGAATGAAGTTTTAATGCTTTTATTAATACAAAAGTATTTAATTTTTGTATTACATATATATATATATATATGTAACATAAAAAGCTTCTATTAATCTTTTTGTGTTAGATTCTTTGTTACAAAACTTCATCCTAATTAGTTATTCTAATCGAAGTACTTTCTCACACTTTTAAAAGCCACATCCTGTTCTTAAATCTATTTTTGGCTCAAGTATGCATTTAATTAAAAGCAGGACATAATTCCCTTTGCTCTCTGTGGGAAATGCTCGATCTATTTCATGAACCAATAGCAACTACTAAGATTTTCCTCTTTCCCTAAATGAAAACATTTTAAGGATTTTACTTTGCAAGATTTTCCCTAACATACAACCTAGGAGCGCAACTTTTTGTGTTCACTTTTTACACTTTCTCATGACTGCTCAGTCTAATAATTAATAAATAAATTTTGTACCCTCCTTCCCGGCCTAAGACCTGTTTTANTATATATATATATAATATAAAAAGCCAACAAGTGACAAAAATGCGCTAAAAGTGGTCGAAAAGAAAAAAGAAGTTAAACAATTGGTACATGCGCATAACAAATTAGCTTCTTAATTTCTTACCAAATCCTACAAAAAAAAAAATGGAGCAAAAAAGAAGCTTCTAAAATTGAAGATAAATATGAATAAAAAAAACAATAATTTTATAATCCAATTATGACCATAACATTAACCTGATATTCTATTAGCAACTTCAATTAAAAAATAAAATTATTAAAAATAATTTAAAGGTTCCACCTTTACTTTTCATACTAAAAATAAGCCACTTTTAAGACTTTTAATAAAACATTATAAAAACTAAATATTAATTTAATACATTAACATCATCAAAGTATGATGTCTTTTTAGTTTAGTTAAACTCATAAGAACAATACTATATAAAAAAATTCAATATTTTAATCTAATTTTAAATTATTAAAAAAAAGGGTTTTAAATTTGTTTAAATAAACCTAGTCTTATTTTTGAAGTGTCAGCAATTAAAATATCAGTGTATGCTCTGCATGCATGTTAGTATTTAGAGTTACAATTCTTGCAGACTTGTTTTTAATTCATCATCAATTTTCAATCTTAATAGTTTGATTACTTATCTAGCATTAAATAGAAATTAAATGATTGGGAAATGAATTTCGACATTTGAAAGAATTTTGCTTTAAAAAGAAAATAAAAACGTCCTAAGGACTATTAACCCTTTCGCGCCGACTGTCACCTGTACGTGCCAGCAAAAAACGCGCTCACATCCCGGCTTGCCAGCGTGCAAGAGCGTTTTCTCGTTCAGCCATTTTCACCCATTAGTGCCAGTGTCCTGGAACGTTTCAAAAAATAAAATTTTTGCCAGAAGATGGCGTTGTATGTCCATATGGTTTCAGATACATACAGATTTGACCTTCTACACAAAATGATAGTAGTATGACTCACATACATGTGGTTTTTAGGGGGAAGGAATGAAGGAGATAGGAATGTTTCCCAATGGCATGCTTTATGACGGCTCTTTCAATTCGCACTCGGTATTTGTTTACAGTAAGCAGGGTTTTTTTTTCACTACAGCATTGAGAATTTTGATTTGCGGTCCAGTTTTTAGTGGAATGTTTGTATTTTCAAATTTTTCATA